AGAAGAAGGAGAATGGTTTTTTTTTTTTTTTTTTTTTTTTTTTCGAGTCGAGTCAGCAGTTGCGTTGAGCTGAACCAAACCCGGCTTGGGGTAGAATGGGGATTTATTAGAGGACTTACTTGAATGAGAGAAAAAGAGGCAAGTTGGTAAAGGGATTAGGATTTTAATGGCCTAAAAGAGTAAGCTTGGTATATTAAGTTTGTAGCCTTTCTCAACACTTGAGGTTCTCATTTAGTAAGTTTCACATCTATTTTGATGGCCTTACCCGAAAAATCATTTTCACTTCCCATTTTTCATGTTTATTCTTCATCTTCTTCATCCCATTCCTTGCTTCAAACATTTTCATGGTAGTTAAGCATTAAGGCAACCTCAATTTCTCACAAGTTAAGTAGTATATCTTGAAGCTTTGTGTTAATGCAACCTCTTTGAGTTTATTGTGGATAATTTGAACAAAGAAATTGTTTATGGGATAGGTGAAAGGAAGTTCTAGAGTGTAGAGAAGAGAAGCTTAGAAGAGCTTAGTTTTTGGAGTGGAGGTTTGAATATCTCTTATCATTTTCTATTTGGCTTGCTGGAATTTGTGTGGGGTGTGTTGATGATGAGCACAATATTTTGCTTCATGTTGAGTGGGAGGACTGGAAATGTTTGAGAAAACAGGGGAGACGCTTCATCTTGATTTTGACGCCTTTTAGATGATGGACATTAGGAAGTGTCATAGAAGCAGTTTTTTGTTCCTCTATGTGTTAGCTTTACATGGATTTTTGGAAATCATCCAAATTGGAGGTGGTAGTATTGCGAGTTATGATCAAAAAGAAGTGCAGACTGCGCAGGCTGGAAACCGTCGCGATCTGGCACTGCGTAGGCTGGAAGCACGTCGCGCGCTCGCGACTTTTGCATGCGCGTGCGCGACTTCCACTTCCACTCTCGACTCTCAATTGAACAGTAGCGCGCCTCGCGACTCTGCAGTAGCGCGATCTGCGAACTTGTGCCCGATTAACACACTTGTCTTTTATAATGGCACTGTACGTCGCTCGCGTATTCACACGCAAAGGCGCGTCGCGACTTGTTTTTCATGCTTGTTTTGACTTCAATTTCAATCCAAGTGTATTCCTTTGGCTTACCATATATGCCTCCAATCAATTTTAGCATCAAAATATATCAATGAGAACAATGTACTAAACACAAATGCAAGCATGCAAATGATGTGAAATCATATGAACATTATAAATTTATGAAGTGATTGAAACTATTAGCTATGATGTTGTGTTATATGCTTGCACATACCAAACATTAATGCTCTCCAATTTGAGGTTCAGGTAGAAACCATGTCGATAAGCCATGTTCGCGACATCGGATAGCAGATCTGCCGCCTCATACAGTTTGTTACTCCGTTACTCCGGCTACAGGCCGTTGAGTGGATATGATTATATGGGCCATAGCAGCCAAGTATACAGTATTCATCCAGTTTATACAGTTTTCTTATCACCTCGATTTCGCTATAACCTTATGGAGCCATACAGATATCTGGACATAACATTGCATAAATCATACAGATAAATGAAAGATATCATGATATGTGTGCTGTGCCTTGTGTGCCTACATGATTCTTTATATACAAGTATGTGCTTTATTGTTTCTTTCCATGTTGAGATATCCACTGAGCTTTATTTGCTCAGCGAGTTACCTGTTTAACTCGCAGGTTTTGAGACTAGTCCATAGAGGGTCCGTTTAACCACTGCTGCGTTCAATCTGTAGAAGCTCGGTCTTCAGGGGTAGTCTCATGGTTATACTTTTTATGGCATGTACACAGGGCACACAGTTTGGGCCAATTCATTTTTGTAAACAGTATCATGTCTTTTGTAAATATTAATATACATTATTAATGTTATCAGCATCAGCCATGCTAGTATTTTCTAAATATACAGTAATGGAAGTCAGCATGATAGGAACATACCAGTCAATCCAGTTGTTAAGCGTCTCGACTCGGTTTATTCAGGTTTACGGGTGGACCGAGAAGGGATGTTACAAAGAGTGCTATAACATCTTGGTAAAGAATCCAACTTTTCAATGTAGATCCTAAACATATTGTATGTGAGATATCAATTGGATCCGTGATGTTTTGATTCTAAGTCAGATTGAGCTTAGAGAGATTCATACGGATGATAATGGTGCTGATATGTGCAACAAAGTCCTCTACCACAGAATGAAGTTTGAAATATGGTTTGAGTGCCGGTTTGGGGCACCTCTTCTACATAGTCGGGAAGGGGGAGAATTGGTTGGGGTTTGGGTTTCCCTTCCTAATTGTAAAAGCCATATTTTTGAAGTCCACTAAACTAATTATTGTTTTACAATATTGCCCCCTCAACTAATATCCATATTTTGATATGTTTTGGCTGCTATGATCGACACATTCATCCAAAACCGTGTGAGGAAAAACAGAAAAACAGAGGAGAGAAGAGGGATTTTCTGCACAGCCCCATCCAGCACCAGCCATCGTGTTCTGGAGATTCCCAGAGTTCCAACCGTTGGATCGTTGTGATTTTTGGTATGTTGTTCTTTGCTCTCTGTTCTTGATTCTCACCGTAGGGATTTTGATTTGGAGGTTCAGAGAGTGAGTTCTGGGTCTGAATCCGAAGCTATCCTGTTCTGCTTCCAACTCTGCATAGCTTCATCTTCTTCAGCGTTTTCGGCAGTCATCCTTCAGCGTTTTCGGCAGTCATCCTTTGTCGGATTGAGCTGATTTTTGGTGAGCTTGTTCCTAACATCCAACTCTTGATTCTGGCTGATCAGTTTAATCTTTGGATGAGTAGAACATTTTTAAATGTATTGAGAACAGCAACTGTATTTTTGTGATCACTCTATTGTGTTGCTACACATTTGTTTATGGTTGTTTGTGGTATAGCTACATTTTTTATGGTTGTATCTTGCTGTAAGCTGTAAGACAATATTTGTGATAGTGAACTTTATTTCCTTGGACCGGAGGAGAGGTCCCGTAGTTTTTATCCTTCACACCGGAGGAGTTTTCCACGTAAAATTGGTGTTCAATGTGAATGTTATTTTTGGATTGGTATGATTTAGAAACAGCTTGTGTTGCTGGAATTTGCTTGCTCATTGTTACTCCTAATAGATTCATTCAGTGGGGAAGTTTTTTTTTGTTTGTTGAGGTCAGTTTAGTGTTACTTCCCATCAGGAAGAAACGTCGCCGGCCGGATTCCTCACGCTATATATGCACTGTTGCTCTACTTACATCTATATTTTCAGGGCATCGTTGCTTGGATATCTAATCTTAATATAAAAACGAATAAGAGACGGTGAAATTTATATACATATAAAAAAAAATATATATATATATATATATTGTGAATTCCATGAAGACTAACAAGGTTTTTCCACACAGGTTTGTGGAAGGGTGTATTGCAGGAACTGCGTGAGCATAGGAATGGGAGAGATGACAGAAGGAAGAAAATGCATTCAATGTTTGGGAAGAAGATTTAGCCAAAGGTAACATATATTTTTATATTTTCTTCATTTATGTTATCTCCTATATATATTTTTCTTTTTCTTTTTATAAATAATAACCATGCTGATTGAAGAAATATTCACAATCAAAGGTTAATTATTAGGTTCAAATAGGATTATAATATATATATATATTTTAAGAGATTTTGTTTAGAGATTTGAAAATGGACTAGTTATAAATTTTTTTTTATGATAATAATATTAATTTTTGCATACTATATTAAATTTAAACTTTTATATAATAGAGTAATTAATGCATGAAAGGCCAAATCTATGAACTCATAATCTAAGGAAATGTCGATTGCATCATTAACCCTTATTTCAACCTAGCTAATATACCCTCAATTTTTTTTAAAAAAAATATATATAATCTAATTCCCTTTACCTTAATTTTATTTTTCTAATTAATTAGCAGCATTTACTCAATTTATTTGAATAATAAAATAAAATAAATGGATTTTTGAGTTAAAATAAATGTAAAAAAATAATGTATTTATCATAAAAAAATATTCATATTAATTTCAGAAATATAATTTAAAGAATGCTAAGATGAAAAATAAAATAGAGTTAAGTAAATCAGTTCTTGTACTTTACATTTGGAAAGGAACGAAATTACTCTGAAAATTTTTTTTAAAAAAAATGAAGAAGATTGGACTAACCTTGCCGTCCTGACATAAATCCTCAAAGAAAAAAAAAAGGTAAAAACAAAAAAAAAAATTTAAACTTTGCCGTCCTGACATTAACAATTAAAATAATAAAAAAATAAAAATAAAAATATTTAAATAAAATAGATTATGTACATTATCTCATATAAATTATAACAAGTTAACAAAAAAAACATTTTTAATAACGTGTGATCTGGTTGGTATTTTTACTTGAAGTGGGAAATCTCAAGTTCAAGTCCTCTTGACCATGAAAAAGGCTACCTCCATTTTATGTAGTTAGTATTATTTTAGTTTATCCAACCTCCTAACGAATAAAAAAACGCATATATGTGTCCACAGGTATATAAAAAGGGCAGGAAACGTAGGGTGTTGTTCAACTTATCCAAGCAGTGTAAGGCAGGCAGAGCTTAGATGGGCAGAAAAAGGACCTAGAACCTCTCGAGAAAGGGCATATGGTCACAGCACAATGGTCTCAAGGTCAAGAAGTCCTGTGAACCCAAGGACCCCAAACAGGGCTCATCATAACAATAGCCCTCCTTCTTTTGTCTCCACCTCACCTTATTCCCCTTATTCTCCTAATCATCACCACCTTCCATTATAGGAAAATCAAGGGTCTATCTTTCACCATAAAATTTTCCAAAGAGTTTGTTTTCCATATGGTATTTTTTTTTTTCCTTTCACCCCATAAAATTTTCCAAAGAGTTTTGTTTTTTCCATATGGTATTTTTTTTTTTTTTTTGTTTTTTTCGTTAACTCAAACAAGTTCAAAAGGAAGTAAAAAAATTAAAAATTACAACAATTAACAATATTAAGTTATTCTTAATTTTTTTTTTGAAGAATATAAATTTAAATTCTTAAAGTTTTTGAAAGAAGGTCAAATTATGAATATTTATGCATCTCTTTTTGGTTAATGTATGTTTTAATGTCTTGATACAATGTAAGGATTGTCATAGGCCCAAAATACAGGTTGAAATTGATGTGGATTCTTGACTATTAGAAGCTGAACGTTATTACGAAGAAGTTAAATTCTTATTATTTTTATTACAAAGTTTGCAAAATTGTATTAAGAAATTAGAATTTCATGTTCCATATATCCTTTGGGTACAATTGGAAAGCTTGGAATTAAAATTAATTTCAATGTTCGTATGGAAAATAAGCAAAAAAAAAAAAAAAAATGTTAGGAAATAAGCAAAGGACATGTTCTTATAAAAAAAAAAAAAAATGTTAGAAATAAGCAAAGACATGTTCTTATAGAAACTAAATTAGACAATTTTCTACAGTCGGTTGTGCAAGATCTAAGAAATTCCAAAATGCCCACTTCAAAAATTCCATATGTAAAAATAAAAGAACAGAACTCCAACAAAATGACACTTAAACTAATAAGACTTTGGAACAGCAAAATATTTGCAATAAATTAAATAATAAATTTAGTAATTTTTGTGGAATTAACAGATTTTTTAAAAAACTGGGAAATCTGTAGATGCTGTTGCAAAGAAGTACTGAAAATCATTCAATGGAAAAATATTTTTATTTATGGAAAAGGAAAATTACTTCTTTTTTTTCTTTTTTTCAAAAGAGGAAAACAGTTTTCGAATTTTAAAAAATCCATTAAAAGCAAAAGAACATATGAGTGAGTGGCGTACATGCACCCCTTAGTTGCAGGACACCCCTTACCATTTCAATTATGAACCAAACCATTCTTATTTTAGCAATCCTGCAACCCATAACTTGATTTGACGCGAAATTTCTAAGAACCAAGATTTCGAAAAAGTTCTGGAAGATGAGCATTTGTTAGCTTAGTCCTCTTGCTGATCTCATGCTTCTTCTTCTTGTTCTTTGGCTTGGAGGAAATGCCCTGCACCTGGGCAGCAGCCCTCCTCTTCGCGGTGTCTGTAGCGGGCTTCATGCCATTCTTTATTAGATCCCTCTCAATATCGAGCATATCATGAGCCAATTCAACCCCCCGAAAAAGCTGCTTAAGCTCATCATCCACCTTAATATTTGCCCTGGGGTCGTTTGGATATGCAATGTCCTCCTGTGAATCATAGTTCGATAGCAACCAAATCTTGCCAGCAGCTTTCAACGCCTAGAAGTATGATATCAATTACTAAAGCCTCAGTGCAAACAAGCTCCCGTAGAAAGTACAAAATTTGAATAACAAGAACAAATTCACAAAGAACAAATTCACAACAAGAAAAGCAAGAGCAAAAATTTTCGTACAAGGAAGGGGGAACTAAGTGCAAGACAGTACACATGTAAGAGTAATCACCAGAAAAATAGTTCCATCCTAGTGGCAATACAGACAAGGTTATTTAACCAGGAAAAACGTTCAAAGCTTGACGCAATATTAAAGTCCCATGCTCTCAAAGTTTCAGTCATGGAACACCAAACAAAAAGATGTAAATTAACCAAAAGAGAGAACAGTATTAATCTATTAGATATACCTGTAAATAGAAAAGTATTAATCTATTAGATATACCTGTAAATCCTCCGTCACAGCTGGGTATGCATCCTTGAGATCAATAGTGGCAATGCCTTCTGGAAACTTGCATATCAAGGAGAGTAATTGGTTCTTGTCCTTCAAATCATGCTTTGACTATAAACAAAAACCCGAAATTCATCTTCTATGAAAGGGGAAAGAAAGGTAACTACTGAAACAGTAAGAAGGTTTTGATTAATTGCTTATCCAAAATTGTGCAGATCTATTACGATTTGCAGACATATTATATTAGGAGTCACCTTGTAGGAGAAGCACCTCCCATCATAATTAACTTTTGGGTTGTTCCTCAAACTGTCAAAGACAGTTTTATTGGACTTGACATCAACAAAACAAGCGTCATTTATTTGTTCTGGTGTAAAAGCCGTCTTGTCTGCAAACATTAGAAAACATACGTGATGGTTAATCGCTTACAGCTTCTCAACTTGTTCCATAAAGATTAAAACACCTTCTTACAAAGCCTACAAATGTCAAGAGAAGCTAACAAGAAAAAGGAAACAAAAAAAAAATTAAGAAAACCATCACATGGAACACAAAATTAATGGAAGAAACTCCTTATAGAATGAAGAAAAGCAAAGCAAATAAGCATCATCAAATGTTTAAAACATTTCTTAGAAATGCTCACAAGTCACACGTCTTCGCCATATCAAAAAATATACCAAAAGAGAACTGAAAGAGGGGAGCAGCAAGGGAAACGAAACGAAACAAGATAAAAAATACGAACATATGTTTCATTTGATATATTAAACCTTTTGAATTTCATGCATAAACTAATGCTAAAATGGCACCAAAAAGAAGGAAAATGTGTGCTAGGAGGAAGAACTGGCAAAAATCTTCCCCAAGAAAAACTATTATGAACATCATTTTTTGTATATAGTCATCACAAAAAAAAAAAAAAAAAAAAAATTTGTATTAGTCATCACAAAAAAAAAAAAAAAAAAAAAAAAAAAAAAAAAAAAAAAAAAAAAGAAATTACTAACTGGAACTTAGAATTGAACCTCAAATAGCAGGCCTATCACACGCTTCATCTGAGCTCCAACAGGAGCTTTTCGAATACTGTTGATATGTTGGAGTCTCTCTGTGTCATTTGAAAATTTGACAGGTGGACCTGGAGTTCTAGTATTTGTTACTGTTGATGCAGAAGGGATAGATTTTTGAGCTCCAGTGGATTTAGAAGGTCCAGCAATGTCAACAAGGGTGGATTGGCACTTCTCTTGCTGCTTCTTGAATCTATCTAACTTTTCATGCAAGGCCATCTATGGAATAGAAACAAACTGCTCACTGTCAGTCTCAATCACTTTCTCTCTTAATTTCCCATTTCCTTTAACCAAATATGTACGTCTCTGTTTAACTTTGTCTCATTCTTATCATCTTTCCATCATCAAATTTGTAAATCTGATACCAGTTTGTGTGTTTTATGTTATAAATTGAAAAATTTTTCGAATAGACATGAAAATATGCACTAATTATAAGTTCGAGCCATTGAAGTAAAGAAATGTAAACGAAAGAAAATAGAAAATTAACAATTATTACTCAAGAAATTCAATTCAAGAAATTAACTCTATTTCATCAAATGAACATAACATTTATGATCAATCAAGAACTTAACTTTGTTTTAAGGAATTGACGAAAAATTGAAATTTTGTATAGCCTCAACCCGAAGGTCACAATCTAACCATCAATAACAAGGAAAACAAGAACATAGCAGAAATGCAGCAGCAAGGAGCGGTAATCTGGTAGGTCTATGACCTTGGTTTAAATATATTACCTAATGAATCGGCCAAGTTTCCGAACGAATTTCGGGGTTCTTTAAATATATTACCTAATGAATCGGCCAAGTTTCCGAACGAATTTCGGGGTTCGATACGATATTCTCTGTTTCGATCGGAAAACCTGTTTTCCAATCACTCAGAAAGGTAAGAACCGACACTTCCGGAAGTGCACTTGCACATGCAGAAATTAATGTTTGAATGAAGGTAAAATATGAGAAGAAAAATACTGAAGAAAATGTAAATGGATGTTATTTTAGTATTTTTCTTTATTTAGGAAAAAGATGAAAAATAAGAAAAATTGAAAAAATAGTAAAAATAATAAAATGTTCTAGATAATCAAAAAAAAAAAATATCTTAAATTAAGTCTTGACATTAGACACAAAATTAATTTTTTGGCATGATTAAAATAATATTTTCAAGATAATTCCAAACATTCGAAAATCCAAAAAAAAATCTCAAATTAATTTATGCTCCTTATATTAAAAAATAATAATAATTTATTTATTTTCCTCCAGATCTACTAAGAATAAAATCTACTAAGAATAGAATGTACGACTCATTATATTTAGAGAGAGAGATTGAAACTAAGAGCAAATTAAACATTACAACAAAACTACATTCTGTGACTAGTGAGATCAGATGTATGGTATGGCACCACCCCTTTGGAGAGGAATAACAGAGAAAAAAAAAATTACACTCTGATAAATTATGGAATCTTTCTGAAACACCACTTTAGTCTACATTCCACAAAAGCATTCTTAATCACCTCTACTCTCACGATCCCAACCGATAGATGCCAGAAATGCCTCATCAGACAGCCGTCTCAGATTCTCACCATTAGATTGTGAATGTGAACAGGAACCCAAGCTCGCCTGCCGGTCACACATCAAGCTTGAAAGCCCATTTTGCTTGATATAATTGTCAAATGGCATGTTGGCTGCATCAGCAAGGTCCATTATGCTCAATCCTGGGATGTCCATCTGTATATCCTCGCGGTTAGGATGACAATTTAAGTCTATTTGCCCAGCACTGGTTTCAGCCACCTCAGTTTGCTTTCTATTTGGATTTCTTTCATTATCCAACTTATCTGTAGGTGACATTTCAGAATCATCCTTGCAGTCATTGTTGTCCACCTTCTGGGAATATCTGTAGGTGACATTTCAGAATCATCCTTGCAGTCATTGTTGTCCACCTTCTGGGAATTTCCGCTTCACGTTCTGATTGTCGTTTCTTCTTACGTAGCACGAGTGTTTTGAAGCGATGCTTTACAGTCATGCACACATTGCATGTACATGTGGGTTTGTGCTTGCCCTTACCACTGGGAGGTTGAATGCAGACAATGCAAGTACAACCAGGACGGTGCCTTGGATGCTTTGTCGTATCTCCAACTGATGGCTCACCTGTATCACAAATATTGTCGCCTAAAACAGCAGCACTAGCTAATGCATCTAATCCAGAAGGCTCACATTCAGGTGATGCCTTGCGTCTCTCTACAATCCTTCGCTTCTTCAAATCTGTAAAGGACATAGCATGGGACAACAATATCAACAGGCTATTATATTATTTACCAATGAGATTGACCACATCATATGATGCACATAATAAGAATATTTAGAAAATCTGTAGAGGTGGTTCTTTCTCCCATTGGTAGGCAGAACACTTCAAGGGAATAGTCATACCTTTGCTCACTCTCAGAAGATAATCTAAATCCTTCAGACTCATCTCCTCTGGTGCCGAACATGAACACCTGGAAGGAAATTGTAGACCAGAAAATAAATTAAAAGAATCTCCATTCATGAAAGATATTCACATGAAACTTTCCAAAATACTTAAAAAGAAGATGTAAGTCACACCTGCTTGAATCCCAAACATTGTCTGAACAGGTCCACTTCGGAGGGAGAAGAGCATCCTGCGGCAATTTTCGCCATTTGGAGCAATCATCACATTGAGCCCATTGCTCCTGTCCCCTGGCCCAATGTTCAACAAATTCAACCGCAATATACGATTTATATTTAGCAACCCTCCTTTTCCTCAATAACAAAAGAATAAAAATGAGTACACAAATTCTTACCCTGATGGTTGATCAGCAAATACTGTCCTCTTCCCAAAAACTGGTGGCTCCTAAATGACAACAAACATGTTTAATCAAAAAACAAGGTAGATTTTAAATATTTGTTTCTCCCACGCGGGCAAATTGCAAAGACAGTTACTAAACCCATTTAATTTTAATTCATCCATGAAACCTCATTTTGATTCATTTCGGTTACTGACAAGTGTATCAATTCAGTCCTCTGTCAGGTCTCCATAAGGAGCACTTATAAGAGCTTGTGGCAGAATCATTAAAAAATTAACAAAAATAAAATAAATAAAATAAAATAAAATTAACGCAACACAGGCACAGTATATTCTTTGGTCTAGGGTTGCCTCGTTCAGAGAATCAAAAAAAAAAAAATGAAAAACCTTCTAGTTCCACCATAGTGCAAAATAGGGACATTTTAAGCAAATATGGAAGCATGTGTTACATAGTCTAAGCTATCAAGGACATTCCTGCCATTTGGGTTCCGGGAACAACCACATAAGCTTAATGTTAGTTGCTTAACAACATCTGGCAGAAAATGCCACATTTATAACCTTGCAGAGGTTTAGCTGCCTAGTTGAAAGTTGGAATAATCTGAAGTTCAATAATCAAACTAATACAAATGATCATTCATGCAATTTACCCTTCTGAATCTGTCACACCATCAATCCATGCATAAGATAAACAAACAAAAATGTTGAGTTCGAGAAACTTACATCATATTCTTCAAATTCATGGTCCTCAATAGTAACAATGCTCGGCTTTACACTAGGGGGTGGGCGAAGCAAGTCCTGCGCTTCTTCCCATGTAAGTCGCAGCTCCAAAGCATCTTCACTATTCATGAGTAATCGCTTATTCTTAGGTCCAATATTTCGAGTTCTTTTCTTCTCTGACGTTGCAGCTCCAAAGCATCTTCACTATTCATGAGTAATCGCTTATTCTTAGGTCCAATATTTCGAGTTCTTTTCTTCTCTGACGTTGATTGCAGCAGTGCATCCCCATTTACCCTGCCTCCGTGATTCTCACTCTTGTTCCAGCCAATATCCCCATCAGCTTAACTCAAAAGTTCAGAAAGAATTTAGGTGAGGATTCTTGCATCCTTTAAGAATTTGGAAAAGACCAGAGTAACCACTTACTGTAACAATACCAGAAAAAGAAGTTTCGGTGATAGCAGCACTATTAGGAATTGCAGATGTTTGGGCATCCTGTTCATTTAACAAGAGCATTAAGAATAAAAAAGTTTGCACCACAAAGAAAAGACAATTGGCAGCTGAAAATTGAAGAAATAAAAGAATGAAATGAAATGTGGCTAACCTGTGTATCTAAAGAGTTGTTTGTAGCCTTGCGAAATCCCATGACAAGTTTGCCCCCAGGATCTATCCGGCTAAAAGTTACTGCAATAGAAAAGAGGTAAAATTAGGAAGAAAAAACAAGATAGGGTACAACAATCACATCCATTAAAGGGACTCGAACCAAAATATGACATAAACCAGACTATCACAGGAAAAAAAGTGCATTAAATACCAATCCATCTTTTTTTTATTTAAGATGATAATTTTTATAATTAAATAAGTTTTAATTAAAAAGGGAGACAAAATAAAGAATATTAGAAAAATAAAAAAATTTTTTATTTAAGATGATAATTTTTATAATTAAATAAGTTTTAATTAAAAAGGGAGACAAAATAAAGAATATTAGAAAAATAAAAAAAATAGAGAAAAGCTATAATATTTACAAATATTCTGACAAATTTTTTTTTTTTTTTATAAAAAAAGGTATTTGACAAAACTCAAAAATCAGAACAAAATTTTTTTTCAGCAGTTCACGTCACTTTTCTTTTCTTGCAAGGAGTTTTAGATTGACTTTTGCATTCAAGCATTAAAGTGTGAAAGAGAAGCATTGCAGTCCGCCGCTTTGGAGTGGGAGTATAGCGTTGCAGTCATAGAGAAACGATAGAGAGAACAGGAGATCTGAATGATTGAATTGAATCCCTAAATTTTTCTTCCTCAAATACTTCGTTTCACTTTCCTTTTGGGCCTCATCAAAATCCAGCCTAAATACTCATTATTTTGTCAAATAGATTAGCCTAATTGCCCAATTGCACAGCAACTTTGAAATCGTTCAGATTCTACCGATTCCACCAATTTTACCGATTTTACTTATTTTAACACGATTTTAGAATGATTTCATCGGATTCAAGTTTTAGGGAACTCACAATTTCGATAACATTAACAATGGTAGCCGTCACCCCAAATAGATTATTGTTTCTGAGGCAAATTCGACACTCTAATTTACTGTTACAGAATCTCAACAGCAGTCTTCATAATTTTGTTTAGTGGATAGAGGGGAAGAATCAAAAAACAAATCCAGAAATTTTATGGGAGTAATTTCAAAAATTTTTTTTGAGGTACGGGGATAGGGGTCACCCTTTACCTCCACCACTGATAAGTTTCATGTACTACAAAATCCGAATAAAGTTTCTCATATTTTTGTACTGTTCACTCACTTTCTGTATTAATTAAGATAGTGTTTGATAGCACCATTCAGCACTCAGAATAACTTGAAATTCACACTTAATACAATAAGTTAGCGAGCTTTTAAAGAACATTGCAGTTTAGAAGTTTTAGCATTTCTATTATTCAATGCTTAAAATTTAGCTCTTAAATTTTCCATTCATTCACTTTCTAAATTTACGCTTTACATTTATCCAAATGCATCTTTAAGAAAATATCATAATTTGATTGCTAGGACACAATAGATGACGTAAGGCAAGATACTTAACATTTCTTTCTGTATACCACATTTCATTATGAAGAAGAACATTTAGAATATAATAATTATTTATCTTGAGCAATCAGGTATCAATTTTAACATGTGAGCAAGAGATATCAAGTATTCTTATTCACTAAATTGCATAGACCATATGCTCAAGCATTATATATATCATCCAATATGTGACACATATATTTAGCACCTAGTGACTAGTATCAAAGTATAAGCAAGAATAGAGAAAAACATACTTGTATCACCCGCTTGCAATTGCATAGACTGTATGCAAGGGGTTACACCCTCCAGGACATACATCCTGCTGTTATTATTGGGCCAAAATCTGAACTGAAATGTCCATTCTCTCCCCTTCACATCTTGAATCCTTAAAGGAAGGCCTTCAGATTGAGAAATAGGAGGAAAATATGCCTGCAACAGTTTACATTTTACAGGAATACAAAAGAAAAGGAATGGGAAAAGGAATGCTGCGGGGGAGGGAGCAGAATAGGAAAAACAGGCTAAACAGGTAAAAACTTACTTCAGCACATGCTTTTGGGAGAACTAGGCGACCAATTCGACCAGCATCACTGGCACTGAGAACCTTCTCAAACAATGGGACAATGTTGGAATTCAAACTAGTAGATAATATACTTAAGGTCATCAATTGATAGTCTAGTTATAAACAACAGCATACATTTCACAGAAGCAGGTATACTAAAAAATTTAACTTAAAAAAGAAAAGGATACTCTCCAGACAACTGCTGCAGCTCTTGATCAGTGATTCTTGGCCAGTACCTGGGAAGTAACTGATTCTTCCCCCGTCCCTCAGCAGGTGGTCTTGCAATTCGCAGCTCAGAGACTGCAGCCTTATTGGTCTCTGAACTCCCAGCAAGAACCGGTTTTGAGGGTTTCGGCAATATTGGACGAGATCTTTGCCCTTGCTGAAAGGGAGATGTTTTGCTTTGCTCTTTTCCTTCAACAACCCCACAAGGATATGGAACAAAACTTGCAGTTCCTGATGGAGCTCCTAATGACATACTCAAGGATGGCTGAGCATGTGATCCATGGATATCTCTCATATCTAATATTGATGGTTGGGCAAATTTAGATTGTCCAGCTGATGATTGAGCTGCAGCTGAGAACCCTGGGCTAGCTTCTACAATTTGATGCATCACCTCCTCTTGTCTGAATTGCCCCAGACCTGCATTAGTGTCAGCTCCTTCAGACTGACATAATAGGTTGGGTGCATTAGCCTCCATGAGTCTGCACAGCTGTGCAAGTTTTCCCTCATCAAAAGTACGACCAGCCACTCTATTTTCTAGAGGAGTTGATTCCAAATCACAGGCATTATTTATTAACAAGCCAAAACCATTAGGAATCTCATCACTACGGATCTACAACATGAGAAAATAAGAGGCACAAACAAATGTTAGAGACCATTGCAAGCTCCACATCTCTAGCAGGTAAATTTTAGAACAAGTGTCAGCAAAGTTATCATTAAACATTATGACAACAAACCAACTGTCAGGGATCTATATCTAAATGCCAAATTTTCTTATAAGTTGAATAAGTTTCCCCTCAGCCCTTTACCATGATCAATAACTATCTCTATACCATTAGACAACAAACCAACTGTCAGGGATCTATATCTAAATGCCAAATTTTCTTATAAGTTGAATAAGTTTCCCCTCAGCCCTTTACCATGATCAATAACTATCTCTATACCATTAGAAGTAAGTAATAACCTTGAACCCAGATGACATATAAGAGAATATAGGAATATCACTGCAGAAGGAGCCATGATTAGGACTTAAAAGTAACCAAAAGAACAACACTTATAATCTATTGACATTGTTTATAATGTAGCTGATGTGTATGTAAATCAATGTTTCATGCCATATTCAGAGCATGACTAGCAGCACTGGAGAACTAAAAGCCAAGCAAGCCTTTACAAAGCACATTGGTTCTGACAATTGGAAAATGCTAGGTGCAATTAATCTTACCGGGTGAAGTCGATAATTCGTTGCACAGCTTGTACAACCAACACCCCCAAAATCCAAAAGTTGAAGCAAAGACTTAGAAGCTATGCATCCACAGTGGAGGCGCTGCCATGTTAATTGCAATTAGACTTTTTTTTTCCTCTTTTTTTTTTTTTTTTTTTTTTTTTTTTTTGGAGGGAGGATGAGGGAGGGTTTTTTTTTTTTTTTTTTTTTTTTTTGGAGGGAGGGATGAGGGGGGTTGGGCACATCAATTTCACTGGGGTAAAAAGGTTTAATAAAAGAACGAAAGTATCTGGACAACAAAAAAAAAATAAACTAGATTATTGGCCTACCTTTTTACATATGTAACACTCCCTCCAACCAGATTCCTCCAAGTGATATGTATCACAGTAAACTGAATTCTCATATGCAGATCTATGGTTAAGGCACATCCAGGGAAAAAAAAAAGCAAGATAAGTCTAAAATTATTATGTAAAATGAAAATTAAAAGCGAATAAAATGATCAACCAGAAACAAAACAGAGGTTGTGGTAAAGCATCTCACAATAAGTGCATGGAATTTAACACTGGCACAGAAGTTAAAATTTTGAAAAGCTAACAAAACAAACACTATCCCCTAGTTATACCAAGCCTCAGAAAATCCCTGTGCAGATAACCACAAGCTAAAGCAGTCTATAAATTTATAAAAAGAGGACAAGCAATCGGTTCCAAAAAGCTCAAAATAAACACTATCACCTGATTTTGAATACATATTACAAAGTCCACACCACTTTCCCTTTGCTACCCTGTTTCCAGTGTACAGGTGATCTTATGGTGCAAATCACATTTGTCAGTATCACAAACTGAGTTGAATAAAAGGATATACATTAAACAAATTACTGAGGCATCCAGCAATTTGGGGAGTTCATCATATTTTATGTGCTTACAAACATTGGAGTTGAATCCAATTTGATTTCCTTAATAAATTTAACAACTTCCAGGAGCAATTGAAAGGTGAAATAATTATTATAACAACAGTCAGTAAGCTGCCTTTGGTTTAGTTAAAAAAAGGATCATCATTGCCATTTGTTACCTAATTATGGGTATCTAATTAAATGTTAACCATAATATCAAAAAATTTGTGTATAATTATAAGAAACATATGATACCATAATGCATTATAACAGGAATTGCAGTCAAAACCCAATCTAAAAATCTGAAAATAAAAACACATAAAATCGTAAATCCAATTATATCCCTAAACTGCCCTCATAGCATTGGATAAACTAAAATCAGCCAGCAAAACAGAAATCGAACTAATAAAGCTAAAAATAGGATAAAAAGTACCCGCATGTATAGCAGAGATGAGCATATCCACCAGATCGCAAAGGCCAGCCTCTCTTCCATTCATGGGTCGTAGTATTTCCACACGATGCATTCATACAAATCTTGGTCCCCATTTATATCCAAAAAAAAAATAAAATTAAATCAATACTTCTCCAATAACAAAGCCCGAAATCAAATCCCTAAAAATCCATTCTGACCAAAACCCATATTAGATCCAACAAAAAAAAATTAAGAAAAAAAAATCAAAATTTCCTCTCTTCCTCGTTCATGCACAAACTAATCCACACAAAATTGAAATTTCAAAACAAAAATCAATCAATGTTGCATTGGAAACCCAATAATTCGAAAACCTAAATTAACTAATTAACTAATTAATCAATCAATTTGAAAATTGCAGTACCTTCATAATAGCAAGTGATATAAGTGAACAGCAGTGCAGTCCAAGTAGAGAAAAGAAGAGATGAGTCAAAGAGGGTGAAGAGGCGGTTAAAACAAAAACAGAGAGCAGAAGCGTAACTGCGATGGAAGATCAAACAAACAAGGCGTGTTCCTGTCTCTCTCTATAAGATATAAAAAAACATGGGGTTAGAGAGAGAAAGAGACACAGAGAGAAAGAAAGAGAGCGGAAGAGAGAGAATGCATGCAAAGGAACAAATGCATAAAATGCATGCACGACACTTGAAGACACACCGCTTAACAAGTCGTCTCTTTTCTTCTATTATTTTTCTTGTATTATTATTATTAATAATTAAATATTTGATTCCAAATATTTTACTAAATTTATATATTTATTAATTAAAGTTCTTGTTTTGAAAAAATTAAATTAAGAGTTTTTGATATTTTATTTCGTCAATCATTTAGTGGTTATGTTAAGTTAATCTGTAATTTAATAAATGAATTATTATTTGATTCATGAGATTTTTTAAAAATCTAAATATACATTAGTAAAATTGTTCTAAAAAAATAATTTATCAACCAATTAAATGTAATATGCTTTATTTTTTCGCGGTTTTAAGTTCAAATCTTCTCGACTACGAGATTTTTTGCATATTAACATAATGTTGGTGCACAATATTATCTCAACCCATTATATTGACGTAATGTTGGCGTACAATATTATCTCAATTCATTATGTCAATAAATAATAAATAATATATATCAAGTGTAATATAATTAGATCTCTATACGTATTAATGAATAAAAAAATAATTATTATAGGAGGTATACTTTTATATCGGATTGGTTTTTTCCACTTTTATGGAAAGCGAAAAGATTTTTGTTTGAGTTTTCTCTGATTGATGAATTAAGAGAAGGACTATACATATTTTATAGCCCCACTAAATTACTCTGGATCGTTAAGCCCCTCAATAAATAAAAAATAATTTGTCATAAAATAATTTATTCTATTGTCTTATCCTCTTATTATTGACTAAGCAAAAAATATAACGCAAATACTCACTAGAAAATAATATTATAATTTTAGAAATTTCTTCATTTAACCGATTTTGAATTCAAAAATTAAATTTTTAACGTTTGATTTTTAATTTTACCAAAGACACCTAAGTTATGTTATAACACCATTCAAGATTTAAAAAAAAATATATTATCATTTCAAATTACCACAGGTTCTAAATTCTAATTACATTTGAGTAATTACCCATTGTATATAACAACCATTAATGCTTCAATTCCTCAAAAATTTGAAAATTAGATGTATCAAATGAAGGGTAATAGTCAATTTGCTGAATAATTTATTATAATTTAAGCAAAATTTAAGATTTTCTTAAATAAATGTGAAATTTCAAATGTGACAAGCATTTGGAAACTAAAGTATTCCCTCCATCTCAAAAAAATAGTTCATATTTCACTTTTGGTTTGTCCTAAAATATAGTCCACTTTTCTTTTTTGCATTATAGTAAATCCTTAAATTGTTTATTATACTCTTATTAAATTTTATCTTATTTTCAATAAAACTCATTAATTTTTACTTATTATTAATTATAATAATTGCTCACGTGTTACGTAAGATCGGCATAATAGAAAAATTATATGCATAAAATTATCATTTAATCATTATACAAGTATTTATTGTAACTAATCTAAATAAGAGTAACATTATATCATTTATTACTCCTTAACATACTCAAAATAACTTATATTTTGGAACAAAAATATAAACTTAAAAATAGACTTATATTTTAGGACAGATGGAGTAATTACTACTTTCTTAATTTGTGTGAAAATAGGAAGTGGACTATTTTTTTTTAGGAATGGGTGGAGTACTATTTTTTTTTTTAAGGAAAAAAAGGATAAAAAAAAAAAAGGAAAACATGTAAAATTGGTTAAATTCCATATATTCCATATAATAGTAAGAGAAAATTATTATGCAGTCCCTGAAATTTGACCATATTAATTAATTCATCCTTGCATTTTTATAACTTTATTTAGTAGTCCCTGAGGTTTAACTTTGTTAGACAACTAGTTCCTTCCATCCAATTTTTTTTATTTTTGCCATTAATCCCATAGTAAAAGATGGAATTACCCTAACTTTTAACATGGAAAAGACCAAAGTAACTCAACTTAACTATTCCAATATTGTGGAGGAAAAACCAAAAGTCACCACTCCATTGTTGATCGAAAAGAAAGAGCAAACGAGAACTCAGTTTGCTCTGAAGTTTGATGGAAGCTTTTGATCAATCTAAAAGGAAAAGAAAGGTTGTGTGATCGTTGTTCCAAGAAGTTTTGTGGTCATAGGAGGTAAGTAAAACAACTTTTCATAAGTCTCTAAAACCCAGATGATTTCTAGTAAAAAAATTTGCCTATTTTGCTTCATAAGGCTATATGATGTTGGATTTTTTTTTATTTTTTTTATATACTTATACAAATTTCCTTTAATGCATATATGTTAATGTAGGTTAGGGTTTTTTGCAATTGTGATCTGTGTTTTGTTTCCCATTCACTGAGTTATGTGCATGTTCTACTAAAATAAGGTTTGTGTGTTCTGGTTGAATATGACTACTTGGAGATATCATACATTAGAAGTTTCTTTGGTGGAAGGGGATATAATGTGTATATATATGATGTAGACCCTAACAAAATGAGTTTCATAGTGTTGATGAGATATGTGTGCAAGGCTCATCGTATTAGTTTTGGTTTTGTGGGCATTGTATGTGGTGATGATATAAAGATAGAGAAGGACAATGATGTTGTCTTAATGTTCGAGAACTTCAAGGATAATGATTTCACTCAATTACAGCTAGTGAACAGACAATTACCAGCAAATGTTGAGCAACTAGCAATACAACAAAGCCAAGTTGTTGATAATATTGCAACTATTTATTAACATTGAGGATGAATAATATTGAGAATTATGGAGTTGTCAAAAATGATAATTGAGATGTTGGGCTGGTTTCTGGACAAAATGTTAGTGAGGAGCAGAATAACGAAGGAAGAGGGACTGAAAATAATATTGCACAAGAGCAAGGAGAGGGGGATAATGAGGCAACAAGGAAACTAAAGAATGTATCAGGAGTTAATATTTGGGATAGTATATTAGAGGAAGATACAGAGTATAGTGGGCATGTAAGGGGTCTAGGTAAAGGAAGAGGCAGGGCTAGACCTAGAGGAGTTGGTTTAGGCAAGGGTTCTAGTAGAATCATGCATAGCAAAGGCTAAAGGACAACCAGCACAAGTAGGTACATGTTTAGTGAGAGGGAGCAGACATGCAAAGAGGCTATGAATGTTGATGACATTAATGCATATGCTGACTCTACTGATGATGAAGATCATGTTCTTTCTAAGAGCTTTGAGGATGAAGTCAATGATGCTAATGAGTAAGAAAAAGATGATGATAAATTTGATGGAGAGCATGATAGTGAACTGCATGAATCCAACAATGGTCTAAGTGATATAGGAAGTGACAAGGAGGACTCTCCAGCTATTAGTGATGATGAGGAACTCGCAGTTAAATGGAAGAGGCAGAGAAAGAAGAAAGATCCTTTCAAGAACTTGTATTCAAATTTGTTTGAGGCTCTTGTAGGTGGGAACATTGTCTTTGCTGTAAGTCAAGTATTCCGAGATGTTACAAGTTGTCAGGATGCTTTAAGGGACTATTTTGTGAAGAGAGGGTACCTTATAGGCATGATAAAGAATGATAGTGTTAGAGTGACTACCAAATGTATAGTTGATGGCTGCCCTTTTAGGTTCCATGTGAGTGTGGCACCTGTCAACAAAACCTTTATTGTGAAAACCTTGCAACTAGAACATAATTGCATCAGACCTGTCAGCAATAAAAATCCTAATGCAACAACAAAATAGGTGATGTAGAAGCTTGTAGATCAGTTAGCAAGTGATCCTAGGATGAGTTATCAACTTATGCAAAGTGAATTGAAGAAAAATTGGGGGATTAAACCTGAGTACTGACTGCTGAATAGAGTAATAAATTCAGCAAAAGAGTAAGCATCTGGTAATCATCCAGAGAGCTACAACAAGTTACAAGAGTATATAGCTTCCCTTCAAAGGTTAAACCTTGGCACATTCATTAAATTTGAGGCACTGCCAAGAAATAGTGAGGCAAAACCCTTGATGTTTCAAAGTATCTTCATATGTTTTGAAGCTATGAACACAGGACTTTTGGATGGGTGTCGCCTTTCATTGGGCTTGATGGAGGTCATTTGAAGGAACCTTTTGGTGGATGTATGCTGAGTGCAGTTACCCTTGGTGGAAATAAGGGTATATTTCCTGTAGCTTTTGCCATTGTTCAGTCTGAGTGTTTGGCAACATGGAACTTCTTCTTGGATTTTTTGAGGCAATGTATTGGACCTACAACTAAAGAGAGACCTTGGACTTTCATGTCCGACAGACAAAAGTTATTTTTCTTATTTAACTTTATATTCTCATGCATTTAATGATTGAAAAAACTAAATGCTAGTGTATGGTTCCTTTGCAGGGTTTACTAGAGGCAGTAAGGGTCAACTTTGAGCATGCTTCACATAGGTATTGCTGCCAACATCTCCTCATGGACTTGAAGAAGGCTTTTCCTAGAGTGATGCTAAGGAGGGAGTTTTGGATGGCAGCAAAGGCCACGTTCAGTTATGCTTTCATACAACAAATGAAAGTTATAGCTGAAAAGAATGAAGGCAGGGCAACATAATGTTTATTGGACATCCCTGTAAGTCATTGGGCAAGACATGCTTTTCCGCCAAAAGCAAAGAGTGCACGCTGCACTAATAATATGTCTGAGAGTTTCAACAATTTTCTTGACAAATTAAGGACCAAACCAATTGTGGATTTAATTGATGCTATACGACAGAAGTGCATTGTCCTTTTACACAAGAGGTTGCAAGAGCAGCTACATGGCAAGGAAGAGTTACACCACAATGCAAGGAAAGCCTAAACAAGAAGATCAAAGAAAGTAGGGTGTGTAGGATGTTGTCATCCAATTCAGAAGAGTTTGAGGTGCTAGAAGGACCTATTGCATTTGCTGTGGATTTGAAGCAGACGACTTGCACTTGCAATTGGTGGGCAATATCTGGCCTTCCTTGCAAGCATGATTGCCTTGCAATTGCATATAAGAGGTATAATATTGAAGATTTTTTTCATAAGTATTTCACAATTAAAAGGTACATTAAGACCTATTTTGGAGTTATACATCCAATACCATATTATGACCTTCCTCTTGATACTTAATTTCCCAATCTCAAACCACCACCACTAAAGAGAAAAGTTGGGAGGCCTAGAGAAAGGAGAAATCTACAGGAGGGTGAGAAAAATCCAAGTAATGCAAAGTGGTCCTGCACTGTTAGGTGGTGCATTTGCAAGCAGCTTGGACATAATAAAAGAACTTGTGAAAATGGCCCACCTCCAAACTCTCAGGTATCTTATTCACTTAAGTAATATTCTTAATGATGTGTTACTTTGTACAATTATTGCTTACTTGCATGCATTGTCTCATATTATTTGCAGAAAAACAAAAAGAAGAAGTGATAGACGAATGAAGTTTCTGGCGGAGCATATGATGATGCATAGAAGTTAAACTTTTCTTTTTGGATACAGATTAGATAGGCTGTTGTTTTGCCTTTTTGTAGTTGACAGCAAAATATTATGAAATTGCTGCTCTTTTGTTCTTGGAATGCATTCAGCTACAGGGTGATACTTTGGTGTTCAACTATTATAGTAAATTGCTGCTCTTTTTTTGGTATTGTGACAACAAATTGATGATCATATTGAGTTATTGGAATACAGGGTGATATTTTGAATGATGTCAGTCTTTGGCCAATTATTATTACTGGTATAATGTTTAATGTTACTTTTGTTTGAATATGTAAATAATGGTTTGAATGTTGAATACTGCTTTTGTTGGTGATTTTCATTACAGATATGCACATTTAGCAGCAGCAACAATTCACATTATATTAGTTTTGCTGTCGAACTTGCACAAATGTTGCTGCAATTTTGTAGTCAAATATGCACAAATTTTGCTGCGATTTTGTAGTCAAATATGCACAATGTTGCTTCTCCAATTTGCACTCAAATTTGCAACAAATTCAGGTCACTCATGCTTCTGCATATTTTGCAGAAATACTACTCTTGCATCACAACATAACTGTTCCGTTTTCTTTACTGTTAGTGTATGATTATGTTGTCATACAATTGCTTAATAAGAAAATTATATATATACTAAAATGAAAACCAAATTCACTATTCATAGAACAGTATGAACAGTGAATTGGCAATTATAACCCTCTTTTAAGTTGATTCAGCTGTAAAAGTAGGGCCCACAAATGTTAAGTGAGTTGGCAGCTTGTTTGATTTTTATACATGTATTACAAACTCAGCTGCATGGTATTTGGCAGAATACTGTGGTTTTGTTTGTTTTATATATATATATATATATATATAAACTAGGGTATATAATTTATATATATTTTTTTAGTTTTTTTGTAACAGTAAATTAATAATTTTATACAAAAAAATAATTATTAAAATTAAATATATACCAAGACTTTCTTTTACAATTATCTACCAAAATATGTATTGGTTAATTGTTGTTCCATATAAATATTTATAATCATTACCTCTCTTTTAATTTCTACATCATTAGACTTTTTTTTTTATTTTTTAATTGAAATTTAAACTCTATTAATTTAACTTATGATACATGTACTTATGATTTTAATAAAATCATATGCTAATAGGAATTTAGATGAATTAGATGTATAATTTACAATAAATCTTTACTAATTTTATACAAAATTTATATATCTAGGTTTTCAAATATTATTAACTTGAAAAAAATAAAATAAATGATAAAATTGAGGATTTTTAATTATTTGTTTTAAAACTTACTTCTAATTTGTTACTAATATATTTGTACATTGGATATTTATCTTAATTTTTATGTATGAAAAATATAAAATTATTCATCTATTCTTATCATTCGTTTTATATATATAATGGAAAAAAATATTTATTTAGTTTTAATAGAAATCATAAAATTTAATTCATCACATTTAAGAATAGATAGAGTTTTTACAATACAGAAAAGACATTTCAATTTATTTATTAAATTTTTATCTTCATTAAAAATAATTTTAATTAAAAAAATTCAATGACAGATCTGTATATAATAATGGTTTATTAATTTTTTAAAAAGACAAGGTTTTATCAACTCTGTTTTCATTTTTTTAATTTTTTATTTAACTGATTTGCATGCGTATGTCCAATTTTTGCAATTACTCCTTTACTATATATATCTTTTTTTTTTTTTTTTTTATTAAATTTTTTTTTTTTTTTTGTAAGGTTTGAATGATTAAGTAATTTTAAGAAAATTCCTTTTCAATTTTAACTTTATAAATTGGAGAAAATAAATGTAGTATACAATTTATGTAGTCTACTACTTAGAAATTAACCCAACAAGTTATGTGAATATGAATATTATTTATTTAGTTAGTTATTTCAATTTAAATGTTATTGTTAAATTTGATTCATCCTAAAAAATTTCAATTATTCATCGTAAATTTTTTTTTTTAGAATAAAACTAAATTTATAAAGGAATCAAAGAGATATCAGTAGCAACAAAAGGAGAAACAAAATTAGGAACATCCTCTAACCAAATAGCTTTATCGAAAACACAAGAAATAGAAAGTTAAGAGCTAACTCACGGGCCACAGAATTTGCCTCCCGTCGGACATGACAACACTGAAACAAAGGAAAACTGCTAACCAAGCCAAGAACATCCATCATGCAAGTTCCAAATTCGGTTTCAGGGACAGGAATTATTCATAATAACTTTTAATTTTTTAACTATTAATAAATTAAATTATTTTTTTAATTAATTTCTTTTAAATTAAAGATAATTTATCGCAGCATCGCGCTGGTCTATCCACCTGTACAATACTACCAATCAATGAATAATCACAACTAACCATTATTATCTAATATAAGTTCTCATTAATGAAAAAGATTACATACTGTTAAAGGAAAAAACATTAATGGCTGTACACAAAATAACCAACTACTTAAACTTACAAAATCCCAACAAAATATAACTGACAAAATCCCTACTTAATGGTTATCCTCCAAACACCTAACTTCAATTGCTCTCAGCAATCTCAAAAATACCACATTTTACCCATTATTTTATCTTGCACAGCAATATAATCACTAATATGAACAAAATCACCATACACATCAAACAAATGCAAACCAGTATCTTTAAATGCCTAAGCTCAGAAGCTAAACACTCTTGCTTTCTCCAATTGCTATGCATCTCATTCTGCAACTTCAAGATCTCTTCCTTCAACTCAACAAGTATGCTCCTCTGCCTCAAACCAGACTCCATATTTTCTCTTCTTTGACTCGGATCAACTGATTCTCCCTTGCACCAGCTAAGAAAAGACCCACATTCATTGTCAATGCAATAATAGTATAACCTATTTTTGTTCTTTGCAGTTTCAGAAATCCTAGTCCCAGCTTTTTTTTCATCCTTGCAGTAAGAATTTATATATCTTCTTCCTTATATTGCATTGTTTGTGGCGCTAGAAAATCCAGATGAAGAAGACATGATGCAAACCCTGCAACCCATGAAACCCTAGCCCCTTTACGTTTTTCTTCCTTCTAAGAGTTATAAGTTTTGAAGATTTTTGTTTCGTTCAACGTTTTATATTTTTTTTATTCAACGTTATATATTAAATAGGGATATTATTGTGATTTTATATTGTTTCTCTCACCTCTCTCTTGCTTTTACTATGGTATTAACGGCAAAAATCAAAGAAAATGAAAGGACCTAGTTGTCTAACGGAATGAAACTTCAAAGACTACTAAATAATATTATAGAATATAAAAATGGGTTAATTGATATGGTGAAATGTCATAACTGCATAATAATTTTCTCTAATAGTAACTATAATTAAGGCTGCATGAGAAGGCTCTGAATTTCGGACAGTGAGTGTGCTGTGTAATGACCGGAGGGTTTCATGGGATTCTGTGACCTGTCTATGGGAATTTAAAAAGGAAGAGATAAGGTTGATACGGTGACGGATAATCATTATATGGTAGTTTTGCAATTTGCATGAGATGGGAGTTGGAGTAAATGGGATTGGCATGTTCATAACGTAGATAAAGGCAAAAGAAGGATAAGTCATAAGTTGATTTGTGACAACTGACATCACCACAGTTAATGCTGTTGTCCACCTGATTTGTGGTTTTACAAGGTAGTACCTTAATTTAAATTTTTCATATTTTTTTCTTCCTTTTTTGTTTACATTTCATATTTACCAATCAATTTCTCAATTATGACACTTAAAATTAATAATAAAATTAAGATAAAGGATATAACAAATGTAATAATAAAATTAATTATATATTAAAGCATAATATAATTTTTATGTTATTTAAATATTTTTATTTATTCAATAAATATATTTTATAAAAAAATTTATTTATAAATATTATAACATCAATTATGAAAATATCATTTCATAAAATGGAATACAGTTGGAAAACATGTCTTTTGTTATAAAGAAAATTAAAAACCTATTTTTTAATTTTCCAGATAGAAAACTGATTGATTTGAATACAAAACTCTGTTATCTAATTTTCTTGGAAAATTTTTTCTAGAAAACAACTTCAATTTTCTACAATTGATCACACTCTTAATTTTTCAGGAATAAGCTCTACAAAGAATTTTTCTTAACTTGTTTTATTAGGTAGAACTTATCATCAATTTGCTTAATTCTATAATTCTTGGCGTGATTCTCTGCAAATGAAAAATACCAGAAGTTTCAACTTGCTTAATTGAAATTTTATTGGACCAATTGACATGATTTGTTCCTAAGGGGTTAATTATTCTTCTGATATTTTCAATTTGAAAATTTTGTAGTTGTTTTGACTCTTTTAGACTCCTCTTTAATTTCATTATATCAAGCCTCTAATTTTGAGCTTTTGACATAAAAGGTTCACAAATAGCACCTTGTATTGCTCATCTAGGCGACGGAGGGGTTAAAAGAATTTTAAAGAGTTAAAAGGGGATAAAATTGAAAAACTTTATTATTTTTGGGAACAAAATAAAAAAAAAATTAATATTTTTAAACACTTCAAAGTCTGCAAATGACGATTATGCACTTGAAGTTGTCAATTTCATCATTTTTAAACACTTCACATCCCTGCGTGAAAATCACTTGCCTAAGGAGTGAAGCATAAAAAAAGAAGGCTTATGTGGCATTTAACTATAAAAAATGTGGTAAATAACAAAATTAAGGTGGATATTGTCGTACTTTCCACACTCTCCTTCTCCAACTGACCCACTACCATCTCTTCAACGCGTTCTCTCTCTTTCTCTGCAGCTAAATTATTTCCTTTCCCCATATTCCATTCATCAAATCTTTCAAATTTTTCACATGGGCTTGCCTTTAATTTCAAATTAATAAATGAATGCAAATAAAATGCTAAATGGTTTATTATCCATATAATCTTGATATGAAAATTGATGTAAGATTGAGAAATTTATCTAAATCTGAAAGTTCCCATTGAAAAAATAAATTGCAAAATCAAAAGTTACAGAACTATACTTTGATTGCAGAACACTATTTTATATACTTTCTGAAAGAACAAAAAAGAAAGAATCATAGGAGGAGAAAAGCAACTTCTTCTAATTACAGTTACACAAAAAAAAAAAAAAAAAAAAAAAAAAATTACAGTTACACAAAAAAAAAAAAAAAAAAAAAATCAAGAGAGGAGATTAAAACCGAGAACGGAACTTGAATCCAGGCCAGGAAATTTCTAAAAAAAAAAAAAAAAAAAAAAAATCAAGAGAGGAGATTAAAACCGAGAACGGTAACTTGAATCCAGGCAGGAAATTTCTTTCATTTTCAAAGAAATTGGTAATAGATTCTTCTATTAAAACCGAGGATTTGAAACATGAAACAATGGAGGAACTGGCCGGTAAGTCACCGAAACTAGAAAAGATGAAGTTCGCTAGAGAGACAGAGGAACAAGAGAGAGAAAGAAAACAATAAAGAAGAGAGAAGGGGATGAAGGAAGAGGAAAGGAAAAACGGCGTCGGTTTCAAACGCGTGAATACAAGCTTTTTAGTTGTTTTAGGATTGTTCTGCGTAATGTACATAGTTATCAATTTTTACGATTTCAGGTGCATAAACAGTCGTTCGCAAATTTTGGAGTACCGTAGGATTTTTTTATAAAAATTTAGAGACATATATATATATTTAGTCTATATATTCTGAATATAGAGGAATTTAAATATTATTTTTTTTCAGAAAAAAATAATATTAATTTTTAGAAAACTTAAATATTAATCTAAATATATTTTACCATTAATACAATTTAAAAAATTAGCCAAAATTATGAAAACTACTCAAATACAAGTACAGGATGCTTTTTTGGTCATTTAGCTTTAATAAAATTAATTATTTTTAAATAAATCTTATAATTAATTAAAAATTTATTTAAATAAATATTTTTTTAATGAAATTCATTTAATATATAGGCCATATTTTGTCCTTTAGAATGATGTCATATAGGGCGGCTTCATTTAAAATATTTGCCGGGAAAATTGCAGATAATTTTCGCGGGATCTCATGTTATCTCACAGTTCCTATCCGCAGCTCCTCATCGATATATCAAACATTTCAAAACCATCTGCTTCTGCCACTGCAACCAAAGATTTGTCTCCACAATCGTCTCTATTAACCCTAATCCTGAATCTAAAGCCCCTTATTTTTTCCCTATTTTTTCAATTTTCACCAAGAAAACAAGTGGAAGAGGTTTCGATCTAAGATCTCTGTTCAGGTAAATCCGCCGAATCCTTGATCTCTTCTCTCTCTGTCTACAGTATATGTGTGTAGAGGAACATAAAAATGAAAATAGCAAATTTAGTCCCAAAGTAATCTCTGTAATGATATTGGAATTCTGGGTTTTTGTTTCTGTATATCAGTATATGCTTTATACTATGTGAGTGTTCTTGTATTGGCTTATTGAGTCTATCTATGAATGTATGTAGAGTTTGTAATGTTCAAACAGATGCTGACTTACTCCTAATCTAGATCTGTGACAATGAAGCTTTTTGTATTGAGTTGCATTAATTAGGGTTCTGTTTAAAACTGTGAGAAAATGATGAAATTGCTTTATGGATGCTTTTCCCTAGGAAATATGTTGCAGACTACAATTGAAACTTTGAGTGACCATTCAGATTATCATGCCTTGTCGAAAAGAGATCCAATGAAGGTCTGGCAGGAAATGAAAGAGAATGGATTCCTTACACCTTCAGTTGCCCAGATGCCTGTACAAAAAAAGCAGTCTAAGAAACGTGAAAATGATAATTCCAACAGGAAAAGGGCACTTGCAAAGATGCAAGAAGTCAACAATTTCAATAAGATTGTTGCATCTCCATGTGAGTTGCTCAAGGAACATAATCCTGAGATCATGCCTTCCAATGGGGTGACGCCAATGCCAAAACAGCGCAGCAAGAAGTGCAGGACTGACCTGCCCGTGGAGGTGAAGAAGGTTGAAAAGGTCCAAGAGATTAACAAGTTTACTGAGATTGATGCACCCAGTGGGTTGCTTAACAAACTTAATCCAGGAATCATAAATCGGATAAGAAGCAGTGAACAAGTCTTTAAAGTTATCAATGCTTTAGTTAGAAGAGATGAGATAGGATTTGGCAATGTCCAGAAGGCAGAAGCTGAATGCAACGGAAAGGGATCCGGGGAAAATAATGGACAAGGCTCAAATAGTTTATCATGCACAAGCCAGGTGGAAACGTTTTCTGGAACTGAAGATAGACTTTTTCAAATGAAATCAGAGCATGAAGAAGACATCAGCAATTTGGAGGTACCAATGATAAAGGTAGAGAATGAGGATGAGAAAGATGAGTCATTTACCTCAAATATGAAATCAGAAAGCGTTAGCAGTTCTGCCTCCAATGAGAAATCAGCAAATAAAGCAAGCGTTTCTTCTCTTTCTCAAGAAGGTTGGAATTCAAAGTTGAAAGTTATGCTTATCTTTACAGTTCTGCATGATATTTATTTCCTATGCTATTCTGCTAATACTTTGAGAACAGTAGCTTACTTATAGTATAGGTTATGCATTATTTTAACGCTCAAGCAATTCAACAATATTTCAGAACCATTGTTCATGTGATCCAACATTATATTAGCATTAGCCTCTTGTCATTTGGTTCAATTATGAGGTCGCTTTTTTTGTGATTGGAAGGTCATGAATTCAAGTTGAAAATAACCTCTTTACAGAAGCAGTAAGGTTGTGTATAATAGACCATCCCCCAAATCCTGGCAATGCAGGGAACTTTGTGCATTGAGGATACTCTTTATGTAATTATGCTTAGGTTGTCCATGTCCTCAATATAAAATCAAGATTTTTTGAAGAACTTCAATTGTGGGATCAAGTCTGAGTTAGTAAATTGTATTAAGATTTGACATCATCTAAAGACCACTTGTCTATTCAGGTACCTTTTTGTCATATCTTGACAGCTACAAGATACCTAGGACTGTTCCATTGACTTCATTTCCTCCTTGCTCCTCCCCCACACAATAGAAAAGGTCATACTGAGCTCTGGCTCAGTGATGCTAAAGTCATCTCCTACTGATCCTTGTTTACTAACCACACATTTCTAACCAAGTCCAATTCTCTGGACATGATATTCAAAAAATACGGTTCACGCAGACCCTTCCTCCAATTAACAAAGCGATCTTGGCTGAATGGCCACATATGAAATTGAGCAAGATTTTGCAAAGAACTGTGAGTTCAAAGTTCAACCATTGTTGAAGCATAGTTTACTAGAAAAAAAGGTCATACTCACGTGCTACCAATACCCTTCTAACATCCAAGTCCTCGACCAAGACTAACCCGAAATGAGTAACTCATGGAATTGTTTATTTATCCAGTTTTTAAATCATTTCATTCATTTCAGATAAATGAAAATGCATTACAAGTGGATTGAGGTTGGTTTAATTTTGTAACCACCATTCTTTGTTGTCAGTGTGAGTTTGAAGGATAGGATATCTCAGGATAGCATTTCAAAATTGTAAGAATTAGCCCTTTTAGGCTGTGGAAATCAAACTCCGGATAGCATTTCAGTTTATTTCCTTGGTGTTCTAGGAATAATTGGTCCGACTGCCTTCTTTATTCTCAGGTTCATCTTAGAAAGTTTCTACAAGTTGTATAATGGGTTACTTTGACTTCAATTTGTTTTATTTTCCCCCAGGTACTGTATCTTCTGAGTGGTTACAATTTCTTTACCGGGATGCTGCAAATCGTCTTGCAGGTGCATTGGCTTTTTCCTTAAAAATGACTGGATGCTAGCACATGGTTACATTTTCTAATTGTACAAGACACATTCTATGTTTTCCATATCAGCTTTGAGGCGGAGTCAAATGAGGGTTCAAAATGTAATCCAGACAGAGTTGCCTTCTATTGTAGCAAAAGAGTTTCCACCTAACCAAGAAAATGAACAATTGCCTGCCGTTGGTTGCCCAGTTTCGGCAACCATGAAGATGCATCTAGCAAAGTGGAATCCTCTGTTTCATCAAATGGATAATGCACTCAAAGAAGAGGCAAAGCACCTCGTAAGTTGGATTAGATATTATCATCAATTATCAAAAGAGTTCCATGCTGAAAAATTGACCACGTCGATAGGTCATAAGCATGCATGTTAAACAAAATTTAGTGCCTAAACATGCATTTCTTCTCTGGATGCAAAGTATGTTATAGCTTATTAGTTAGTTGGGTCATTTTCTTTCTCTTATGAAGAGTTTACTGAGTTTTCATGAAATAAGAAACTACTTGTTAAGAAATGGCATACACAATTTTAAATCTGACATTGGTTTCAGGAACAGTGGTTGAACCAAGTAAGAGAAATGCAATTGCACATGAATGATGGCTTCCATTTTTATGATTCGTGAACAAGATACTTTCAAAACAGTCATTGATATCAGATTGTGACACCAGGTATTCTTTTATTTCTCTGTAATCAATAAAAATTACAGTCGTAATTTTTGGCATGGTTCTCTTCTCCTGTTAGTTCCAACCAGTAACCTTTTATATTAAAGTCTGGAAATCAGGGCCAGAAGAAGTTCATAGTACTATTACTGCTAAGGGTCATTAGGTAGCTAGATAAAGAGGAGTCAGTCTCAGAAGAATGGTAACATTGGTCCATTGAAGTTTAGTGGTCATAAGTTCAAATCAGAGAAACAGCCTCCTTGCAGCCTTTTACCCCAGACAAAGAGATGTATCATATTAAAACTAGGATGCTTATTGATTGTTTGTGGTATTTTTGGATAAAGTTTGTCATTCTTGCAAGCAACATTAAGTAATTGGAAGCAAATTTTAATTGACATAGCACGTAAGGATTGGAGCAATAGAAATTTATTTGATATACCTGGACAGATTTATGAAGGTCCAAAGTTTGTTTACTGGAACCAAAGTTTAATAAGCAAGATTTTGGGTAGCACATCTATGTCTTGCATGGTTGGTACTTTGCTGTAAAATGTATTACATTTTCCCTTGGGCTTTCATATATTGATGAAACTTCTGAAACCCTACAGAGGAGCTCCAAATTTTGGACGTGGAATGAGGCTTGTTAAACTTCTCCATCTACACCTCAAGCATCCTTAACTAGTTACCACAGCTTGTGCAGATATGTAAATGCATGACATGGAAGAAATTGCTTATTTGGGAGATATTAGGCTCCTTTTCCCCTTAATTAGGCTGCTATTGAAGTTCAGACTGGCAATCTCACATTCTCATAGACGACTCTCAACTGCTTTCTAATGTTTGGCCTTTTGTGTAAAAGGCTCAATGTCTTGGGTTTTTGACCAAAATAATGCTAGTCTAAAAAGTAAACAAGCAAATAAATGAAAAGGATTTCTCTATCCATGTCTCATGTGCGTGTTCCTGCGGTTCCTTTTTTTTTTTTTTCTGGTAAAGTTTGCTTCAGAAACTACCACAGCGTAGTTTTGGAAATAGTCCCTAACCTAGCAGTATTTTGGTCATAAACCCTAATCTTTTGTGTAAAAGGCCAATTAATGATGCAAAAAAAAATTGATCAAATAAGGGCACACATTGCATGTATGTATTAGAAGCTGCCCCTACACCACCCAGTTGCTAAAATCTGCTATTTTTTGAAAGCTGAAGCTTTTCACTTGTATGGAAGTTCATGTCATATGTTGGATATGTCCTTGGAACTTTGTTGGACATTTCCACTGGAAAAAAAAAAAAAAAAATGCTAAAAAAAAAAAAAAATGCTAAAACCTGCGTCCTCAGTTTTGCAACATTGCAAGGAAAATTTAAAAAAAAAAAAAAAAAAATGCTAAAACCTGCGTCCTCAGTTTGAAACATTGCAGGAAAATTTAACACCATGACGCCTGATGGAGAGCAAGCATGTCCAGATTATGTTGATAGAATGTGGCACGTCCTAATAGTAATGGGTGATGTATATAAGATTGATACAGAAACAGGATGCTGTAAACAAAGAGCTCACTTTCGCTGGCCTGTTGTATTATGACTATTTTACACAATTTAATTGTAAATGTCATTTCCTGATACGTCAAAAATAAAGATTATTGTCCATTAATTGTGTTTTATGTTTAGAACCAATTGCGAAAATTTTATTTTTTTTAAAACTTAACAATTCATTAATAATGAATTTAAGTTATGAACATCATAGTATATTTCTATAGAAATAAGAGATACAAATATGGAAAATTAAAATATTCTGTTTTAAGATATTCTTGATTTGTCAAAAGATGTTAATTTTTTGGATAAAAAATAGGACGACACAAGAAACCTTCCATAATATTGTCCTAAATATTGTTTTTTCGAAAATTTATTACAATTGGTAGAAAAGAATTTAATATATCAAATTTTAATGGATGAATATACCGTAGTATCAGACTCCATTAGTAGAAGAAGGAATTTAACCGAACTTGAAGATCTAAAGTCTCCACCCACAAACAATCAATAGTTCATCTTGTTTTTTGAACTGCCCAAGAAATAAAGATCCATATAAAAAGTTCTTAATAAAGAGGAACAACTTCATGAAAGGAGAGAAACTAATAACTCTACTAAAAGTGTACCAAAAACATTCAAGATCTATCATCGGAGAGACTAAATTCAAATTTGATTCTAAAAGATTATAGTTTGAAAATTATTAAATTAAACAAAATAAAGAAAAACAAGAGAGGGACGAAAAAAAAACCACTGTCGACCAAAAAAGATGGTTGGTGGTGTTTCAAAAACAAAATCTAGAAGAATACAAAAAAAAGAGAGCATGAGAAAAATGGCTAGGGTTTAATTGCTAAAATTTTATTAAGTTGTTAGGATTTATTATTTAATGGCCATGATCATCAACAATTAATTATATAAGTAGACTATCTTGCTCAATTCACCATTACAAGTCTTTTTCCAATGATAGAAGCATTTGGAGGAGACCATTCTGGGAAAATAGCCTGAATTTGGCTTCTATCAGCTTCAATTTTTAAAATGTGATGATTATCCTTTGTATGTAGCTTGTAAAAGAAAAAAAAAAATAAAATAAAATTGCTAATAGATCCAAAGTCACTAAGAGGTTCCTCATCAACTCTGCATGTAAAGGTATATATAATATCACGTTCCATAGCATAACATTTTTATTTTTATTTTTCTACTTTCTCGTTCATGGGGATCTGGGGTTATACACATGTTTATGGTTGTTTGACTTTGCATATGTTTATAATTAAATCAATAAAATTAATATAATCTGATTTTGTAGATAAAATTACTCTAAATTTGTTTTTTGTGATGCCTAATTGTTAGCTAAAAATCAGAGTAAATCATATTAGTCTTTCTCTTCAAGGAAGAGCTCAAAAGAGAACATGATTCAACCCTAAAAATTCTAAGATTGTAGGTGCTAGATCTTTTTGGCAGGATACGGGATTTATTGATTTTTAATCAGGGCTAGGTCCAGGTTTTTTTTTTAAAAAAAAAAATTATTTAGGAAAAGAGTTATTTATTTTTTTAAATTCAGATCTCATATACCGGTATTAGTGTCATCTGAGAATGTGCCCACAAGAATTAAACATTACTTGCTTGCCACTTCAATCTCCATTTTGTATATATCTCTCTCTCTCTTCTATTTTTCTTTTTGAGGCTAATTTTCTTATATTAACATTAAACAGTACAGGTCCGCCTTACCAGATGCTTGGAGAAAGGAGCACAAGACTTATTGCTGAAGCTGCTGAAGACACTTCATTCATGCCAAGGAAGGCTTCGCATGGGAAGATGAACATTTCCTAAAGATGAAGATAACAGAAAAAGAAAAAAAAAAAAGAAAAAGAAAAAATAAGGGAATAAAAAAAATCATTTAAAAGTAAAGAAATTTCGAAAATGAGGCAATGATCTTTCCTGCTGTGGAAACTTGAAACTACTATATGTATGCACTAATGTAATCAATAGGAAATGCATTTTACCCTTCACTACCTCGCCCTTTTCCTCGTATGTGTTATCTATATATTTATGAAATGATTTTTATATTTGGAGGGTACCAATTAACTTTCTCTATATCTCTTAATTACTTACTTAGTATTTGTAGATAGCTTCTTAACTATTTGAAAGAGGCAGTTGTTTTTTTGAATTAATTCCAATTTTAATGCCTATTATTTCTAGTCATTTGCAGGTCATGCCCTGAAACATTTTTGCAAACGGTGCATTCTAAAGTCCCTAGAGGATGATATATGAGTATACAGTATACCTTTCTTTCATAGATTCTATCCAGACGCATTATTTTGGTAGCTTCTGCACGCAAAGAAGTTGAAGGACATAGCTTTCCAGCATCATCAGCTTGGGAGATGAGTTGAGGTTTTTACTTAGCCTTTTAGGCCCCTCGTATTCCTTTTCTGTATCAAGATAATTGAAGCATATTTAGTTCAAAAATGGCAAAAGGGAAACAAAATGATACGTATTTTTAAGATAGCTGAGCCTGAGATCTGCAATTCAAGAGAAAAGGCCAAATGTTAGACACCTTTGCTCCCACTTTCAGAAAGAAGAGGAATGTTATCACCTTGGCGATGTCTGACAACAATGTATGAACAAACTTTTTAGTATATATATGTTGTATTGGTTTTAGCAGGAAGCATAAGAGAGAGAATATTATTGGACATACTCTTTTCCTTCTACGCTGCTTTCAGATTTGTCAGAGATCTTCACATTTGATGATGTCTCTACTGTTCTATCCTTGAACTCATTGGACTCAGGACTATACTTCACATATTCTAAATCTTCCACTACCTTCAGGTTCTTCTCAATAAGAATTCCTTTTTGGGATTCTGATTTATTTTCCTCATCTTTGTTAATGCTTCCCTGTTCTGATAAATCCGAAATCAATCTCTCCCCATGAGAAACATCATCTTGTGATGAATGAATAGGTCTACTTTCCAACTCAAAATCTGGCTCGGTAGTAGCCCAAAACTCAACCTTTGAGTTCTTAGGAGAATCATGAGACTTTTTGTGATTAGACTGTTCACAGAAAACCACTTTTTTAGAGATGCAAGTACCAGATGGTGGAGATTTAAAAGGACTACAATTTTTGGACCTAATGGACGAGAATTTAGCATCATTATATGGTTCATGGACAGGTAATGTATCAAAACTATCTTCAGCAAAAGGCTTGAAGCCTGAGGAGGGATGTTTTTTCTCTGAGGTTCCACTTAGAGAACTGGTACTGAGGTTCATATCTGTTGACCTATATCCTTCTTCAAACAACCAAGTTTGATATGGTTCTATTTTATCCCGGGAAAGATAATTTATGTTATAGGCTAATTTGGAATCTGATAGAACTGGCATCTGAGTGCATTTTCCAGACCAACTTGCATTGTCTCTTTGCAGGGCATCGAAATGCTTTTCCTCAGCCAGAATGATTTTATCACCATGCTTCATTGCACGACTGCCAAAATCACTTTGATGTCTTCTTGCTCTGGAGTTTGCTACTGAAATATCGTTTATTTCGCCCCTGACTGCACGTGGAAAATAATTCAAAGCATGCCAAATTTGGTTTATAAATTCACCAAATACAATATGATGAAAAAAAAAAAAGATACCTGCTGTGGATGAGCATGACTCTTCACTGTCAAAAGTTTACAGAAGGAAATAAACTATCGTCAAAGCAGCAAAGAAAATGGCAAGGGATGAAAGGACGACACTAGGGGAGTGTTCTGATAAGCTTTACCTCAACAAACTCATACTTTCTCTTTCATCTTCCGAAGTGAAGCAAGGCCAATCAGGATGCCCAGTTACATCTCCAAAATCAAAACTTGTGCCAGCGAAACGACGCCTGCCACTATATGAGGCAAAAGTATTTAAGTGCATATACTAAAAACACCAAGACTTTTTTTTTTTTTTTTCAAGAAAATCAACAAACCTTGCCCCATTGGAAGTTATGAAATCATAATCATTTTCTGATGTTTGGTGCTTTGAAGCAGGCAAATCTGATTCTCAAAGAACAGAGAGCAGTAAAAGTTAGACTAAAATAAGTCCCATATCATACTAAAAGAACTCGGGACAAATAAATTTCTTCAGAAAAGAAGAGTCGGAATCCCAATAAAATCGTAAAGGTTCTTCAATCTGATAACACCAAGTTAATGGAACTATCCAACAAATAAAAAATCATGAAACTATGACTAAAATACGATCATCAAAAAGGAGGGAGACGGGAAAGATGAATGCTGTATATAAACCTGCTGTTATACTAGCAACTAAATATTTAAAAGTTTCAGAATTGAGGCTAAGACTATTTGCAAAAGAGGTGTGGCATGACCAACCACAAAATTAAAAGGGACTTTTTCTAGGTACCTACCATGGTAGTGATTAAATAAACCATAATTTATAGGTACTTCTGAATCATAACATTATTGTTAAGGACTAGTTGTAAATAGCGTTCTATTAGGAGTTAGATTCCCAATAGGTTTATAGTATCTTGTATATATATATATGTGGATTAAATAACCATAATTTAATAGGTACTTCTGAATCATAACATTATTGTTAAGGACTAGTTGTAAATAGCGGTTCTATTAGGAGTTAGAATTCCCAATAGGGTTATAGTTATCTTGTATATATATATATATTATATATATTATAATATATTAATTATATATGTCCCTATTGATGAAAAAATGCAAATATTTTTTCCACGCTAAATTACATGGTATCAGAGCCTTCGGTTCGTTAAGTTTTTTTTTTTTTTCTTTTTTCTTCTGCTCTTTTGCGTTGAAACTACAGGCAGAAGTGAGTTTTTGGTGACTGTCAGTCTAGGTCACCCACCTAGGTTGGTAGTTTTGTCTCACCGCCACCCAAGGAAGAAGGGCAAGCCGCCGATCAGCTCCCCCTCCAAGTCCGATCACAAAACCCTTGCGAGTGTGCTTCACGCGCCACTCACATTTTTTCGCCGTTCTTCACGCGCCAGCGCGTGAGGGCGCGTCCAGCCATCTCCTGTCACCGGCTCTCAGTTTCCGGCGTCGATTTTGCCAGTACAGTGCAACCCAGTGTGTTGCGGCGGCCCTCTTCGAGTTTTGTGGTGTTTTTCGTGCTACTACTTTGCCGGGTACAGTCTGAATTTGTGAATTTGTATTCTACTGCTGCCTATTTGTCATTCTGCTATCGAGTTACCAAGAATCGTAGTTTTCCTTTGCTGTGCTACATTTGTTTTTGAGCGTTTAGTCACAAATCATGACGACTACTCCACCGGAGACTTCCAAATCGAAACCTGTCATCACTGATGTGGTGCTACCAAAGAATCGTAGTTTTCCTTTGCTGTGGCTACATTTGTTTTTGAGCGTTAGTCCACAAATCATGACGACTAAATCATGACGACTACTCCACCGGAGACTTCCAAATCGAAACCTGTCATCACTGATGTGGTGCATTATTGAGTAAAATAACGGAACACAAACTTACTGGCTCTATTTTTCTGGCATGGTGTAAAACAGTTTGTATATATTTTCGTAGTTTGGATAATGATGACCACTTGAACAATGATCCACCTGAAGGAGATGCTAGGAAAATCTTTCTTAGAGACGATACTCGGTTATTTTTACAGCTTCGGAATTCGATTGACAGTTAGGTAATTGGTTTAATTAATCATTGTGAGTTTGTTAAGGAGCTGATGGATTATCTTGAATTTTTGTACTCGAGAAAATGTAATCTATCTCGTATGTATGAAGTCTGCAAAGGATTTTATTGAGCCGACCAGCAAGATAAGCCTCTCACAGCTTATTTCATGGAATTTAAGAAGATTTACGAGGAACTTAATGTTTTATTGCCTTTTAGCCCCGATGTTAAGGTTCATTTAGCCCCGATGTTAAGGTTCAACAGACTCAGCGAGAACAAATGGTTGTAATGAGTTTTTTTGCAGGTCTTGCTCCGGTTTTTGAAACTGCCAAATCATAGGTTCTTTCAGACAGTGATGTTACCTCTCTTCAGGAGACTTTCACTAGATTACTACGTACTGAAGGTTCTCATACCCCTTCCCCTTATGATAATAGTGCATCTGTGAGTCGTAATCAGATAGTTAGGCAGCCAGGAAATAGAGGAAGAGGAGGAAATAGCCGTAGTAATAGAGCAATTAATCGGAGGCGAGCATTCTTATCTGCCATTATTGCCATGAACACCTGTCACACTAAACGGATTGCAAGAAACTGATCAATAAGCCACCAAGGGTAAATATGGCCACTCAAGATTCTGCAGTTACTTCTTCTGATAACACTGTAACAATTTCTGCTACGGAATATGCTGAGCTCTCTAGATACCATTCTTCTAAGTCTACTGATTCCTCAATTGCTGCTGCTGCCAATTCAGGTACTCTTTCATGTCTTATGTCTACCTTATCAGAGTGGGTCATTGATTCTGGTTGCACAGATCACATAACAGGTAACCCTAGTCTCTTATCCTCATTAAAAAAACCTAAACTATTTAATCGTCATGTTACTCTAGCTGATGGGTCCACATCTTCTGTCAAGTGTATTGGCACTGTCAATCCCATTACATCTCTTCCATTGTCTTCTGTTTTTTGCTTGCCTCGTTTTTCATTTAATCTACTGTCGGTTAGCAAAATTACTCGTATACTAAATTGTCTATTAAATTGTTGTGTTAAAATTTATCCTACCTTTTGTGTGTTTCAGGATCTTTTGATGAAGCGGATTATTGGTAGAGGACGTGAGTCTAGTGGCCTTTATCTTCTGAATGCACAAGTTTCGTTATCTCTGGCTTGTGCTAGTGCTCTATCTCCTCTAGAGGTTCATTGTCATTTGGGTCATCATTCATTGTCTACTTTAAGAAGTTGTGTCCGCAATTTCAGTCTTCATCAATTTTAGAATGTGAATCTTGTCAATTTGCCAAACATCATCGTTTACCTTTAGTTCCTCGAGTCAATAAACGGGTTTCATCCCCTCCTCGAGTCAATAAACGGGTTTCATCCCCTTTTGAGTTAGTTCATTCTAATGCTTGAGGTCCATGTCCTGTTATTTCTAAAACAGGCTTTCGGTATTTTGTAATTTTTGTGGATGATTATTCTCGCGTTACTTGATTATTTTTAATGAAAACTTGTTATGAGATATTCTCTATTTTCTGTTCCTTTTGTGCTGAGATTAAAACTCAATTTAATACCTTTGTTCGCATATTGCAAAGTGATAATGCTAAAGAATATCTATCTAATTCTTTCCAATCATATATGTCACAGAATGGTATTCTTCACCAAACATCTTGTGTTGATACTCCTCAAAATGGGGTTGCAGAAAAAATCGACATTTTCTTGAGATTGCTAGGGCACTTCTATTCCAAATGAAGGTCCCTAAACATTTCTGGGCGGATGCTGTCTCTACTGCATATTTTTTGATTAATTGCATACCTTCTTCTGTGCTTAATGGTGCAATTCCTTATAGTGTCTTGTTTCCTTCTAAGCTTCTATTCCCTATTGAACCTCGTATTTTTGGTTGTATTTGTTTTGTTTGTGATGTTCGTCCACAGGTTTCCAAATTAGATCAAAAGTCCTTTCGTTGTGTTTTCCTTGCGTATTCTCGGCATCAAAAGGGGTATAGTTGTTTTTCTCCCGATCTTGATCGTTATCTTATTTCTGTAGATGTCACATTTTTTAAAAATACTCCATTTTTTCCTTCTTCTATATATAAGAGCGAGGGGGAGGATGATGAGCTTTTAGTCTACACTATCCAGCAATTTCCTAGCTCTCTTGCTCCTGCTCCTATTTCTGCACTTGCACCTGCTCCTGCTACAGCATCTGCTGCTACAGCATCTGCTGCTCCTATTCCCCCTCTTGCACCAGCATCTACCCACCCTCATTTTGAACAAGTTTATTCCAGGAGACCAGGAACTCTTGACTCACTTCCTCCACCTGCCGCTTCAACAGAAGATCCAGTTCCCTTCACTCAACCTGAGCCTGTGCCATCCACTCCTCAGTCAGACCTTGACCTTCCCATTGCTCTTCGAAAAGGTAAATGCAAGTGTACCTATCCCTAAAACTGTTGTCCAAGCTTTGTTCCATCCTGGTTGGTGTGCAACAATGAAAGAGGAGATGGCTGCCTTAGATACTAATGGTACTTGGCATCTTGTGCCTATCCCGGCAGGTAAGAAAGCTATTGGTTGCAAGTGGGTTTTCACAGTTAAAATGAATCCTGATGGGTCTGTTGCTCGTCTCAAGGCTCGATTAGTTGCTGAAAGCTATTCTCAGATTTATGGCCTTGATTACTCTAATACTTTTTCTCTTGTAGCCAAATTGTCTTTTGTTCGTTTGTTTATTTCTTTAGCAGCTACTTTTGACTGGCCTTTACATCAGCTGGATGTTAAGAACGCCTTTCTTCATGGGGATCTTGAACCGCCTTCTTCTGGGGATCATGGGGATCTTCAGGAGGAAGTTTACATGGAGCAACCACCAGGCTTTGTTGCTCAGGGGGAGTCGGGTAAAGTGTGTAAACTTCGAAAATCTCTTTACGGCCTAAAACAAAGTCATCGAGCTTGATTTGGTAGATTTTGCAATGTGGTACACCAATTTGGCATGCAAAAGAGTACTTCTGATCATTCTGTATTTTTCTGAAGTACTAAGACTGGTTTGATTCTACTTGTGGTTTATGTTGATGACATCGTTATTACAGTGAGTGATGCAGTGGGTATTACATCACTCAAGTCATTTCTCCAGACTCAGTTTCAGACAAAAGACTTAGGATTGTTGAAGTATTTTTTGGGTATTGAAGTGTCTAGGTATAAGAAATGCATCTTCTTATCTCAAAGGAAGTAAGTCCTTGACTTACTGAAGGAAACTAAAAAGTTGGGTGCCAAGCCATGCAGTGCTCCAATGACTCCTAACTTGCTCCAATGACTCCTAACTTGCAACTTTCAATTGGTGCTGAGCTATTTGATGATCCTGAGATGTATAGAAGATTGGTGGGCAAACTAAATTATCTTACAGTAACACGTCCAGATATTGCTTATTCTGTGAACGTTGTAAGCCAATTATCTTCCAGAGAGTGATGCAGTGGGTATTACATCACTCAAGTCATTTCTCCAGACTCAATTCCAGACAAAAGATTTAGGATTGTTGAAGTATTTTTTGGGTATTGAAGTGTCTAGGTGTAAGAGAGGCATCTTCTTATCTCAAAGGAAGTAAGTCCCTTTGACTTACCTGAAAGGAAACTGAAAAGTTGGTGCAAGCCAAGCCATGCAGTGCTCCAATGACTCCTAACTTGCAACTTTCAATTGGTGGTGAGCTATTTGATGATCCTGAGATGTATAGAAGATTGGTGGACAAACTAAATTATCTTACGGTAACACGTCCAGATATTGCTTACTCTGTGAGCGTTGTAAGCCAATTTATGTCTTCTCCTATTGTTATCCATTGGGAAGCTTTAGGACAGATTTTGTGCTGCTTGAAAGGTAATCCAGGCCGTGGCCTCCTTTAAGTAATCATGGGCATTTGGACATTGAGTGCTTTTCAGATGCAGATTGGGCAGGTTCGAAGGTTGATAGAAGATCAACTTCAGGATATTGTGTCTTTCTTTGTGGGTGGAAACTTGATATCGTGGAGGAGCAAGAAACAAACTGTAGTCTCACGATCGAGTGCTAATCAGAATATCGAGTTATGGCACAATCTGCTTGTGAATTAATTTGGATTCGTCAGTTGTTAAAGGAAATTAGCTTCAAGTTATCCTTGCCTTCAAAGTTATAGTGTGATAATCAAGCTGCTCTTCACCAAAGTTATGGTGTGATAATCAAGCTGCTCTTCACATTGCATCGAATCCAGTATTCCATGAACGAACAAAACATATCGAGATTGATTGTCATTTCATTAGTGAAAAAATACAACAAGGTATTATCTCTACAGGGCACGTTAAAATAAGTGAACAGTTAGGAGATATCTTTACAAAAGCTCTAAATGGGCCTCAAGTTAACTATCTTTGTAACAAGTTGGGCATGATCAATATCTATGCTCCAACTTGAGGGGAAGTGTTAAGGACTAGTTGTAAATTGAGTTCTGTTAGGAGTTAGATTCCTAATAGGTTTATAATATCCTATATATATGTGTGTGTGTGTGTGTCCCTATTGATGAAAAAATACAACAAATATTTTTTCCACACTAAATTACAATAATGAAAAAGGGAATAACTCTCTATTTGGTGTTTCGACATTCAATGATATTAGTGCGACAGTAGACATTAACTAAAATACAATGGAGAGATGACCTGAGAAACTGAAGCTTTCTGTTGCATACGGAGCATCCCTGCATGGAATTACAGTTATCAATAAGTTTTTGTCATTTTATGTTGAAAAAAGGAGGAGAAAGCCACAAAGGTTACAGAAAACCTTTTCTTTTGTGGACGGGAGCCTCCAAAATCATAATTAGGCATTTTATTGCCTCCATACTTCAGAATATCAGGAAAATCTCCATTATGATGAGATTGCCAGCTTTTCCAGGACAAATCACATTCATCAAGATAATGGGCATCTGACAAATTAGACCTAGCTGGATAGCAAAAAACAGAATAAGAATAACCATTCTGCCAAAAATACAGATATAACTAAAAATAAAGCAAAGGGGCAACTGATGGAGCAATATTAGAAATGAATGCAAGGAAAGCTGCAGACATTGCCAACCTCTGCTCACCATAACTCAAAAAAAGGTTTTTCCAGTATACAAAACTCTCTGCAAAGCAGTCTCAAAGGAGTCAAATATACACAGTTCTTTTATTGCAATGCGATGGGGTTGCTTCTGTAGTTTGAACCAGTGGTGACCTCCAGGAGCAACCTTATTATTGAACTAAGGCTCATCCCCATCTAGAGAACTAATAAATGTTCCATTACGCATAAAGTAAGAGTCATACCATATCTTGCCACTGGCAGGACATTTTATACCATGATGGAAATTTAAAAAGAAAAAAGGGGAAATTTCACATGTTCTTGGATTAGAAGTTAAAGAAAGATCATATCTTTAAAGGCAATCTTACGTGTGCCTGAATGCTTACATTTCAAGATGCCAAGCCAAGTGAAATGCCAAGATAGCAGCTATAGCATGCTATGCCATAAACATTCAACCATAAATTTACTTATGACCTGTCGTGCATTGGTACAATTTTGCCACTTAGGTGTATTATGGTATAATGGAGATCCATATCAATGCCATTCAGCTAATCAATATTTTATCCAGCATGACTCTTGTGGACATAAAAAATTGTTGCAAGCTATGAACCAAGCATAGAAGTAATAATTCCCAAAAAAGAAAAACAGCAAGAGAGAGACTTTAATTACAAGATAAATGGATATTGAAAAGAAATACCATCCCAAAAATCTTCATTATCATTCTCAGTATCACAGAATGCTTTTCCTTCATCGAATGAGCTTCTCACTTTACTGCCCTGGCCATCAAGTTGCATGTGGTCTCTGACAGTGGATAATTTCTTCTTCATCTTGCTAGATGGGTCCTTGATCCCCGTCGAAAGTTCAAAAGACCTGCCACTCTGGGGCATTTCAATATCTTGCATTATAGCATCCTGCATGCAGCACAGCAGACCAGTCAATGTCAAATCTTATACAAGAAACACAAATAGCTTGAACTTTTCAGGTAGCATAAAGGGTTCTATAAAGAGGGCCAGTTATCTCCATCACATAAGATTTTTTACCCAGAGTCCCAGACATTTGTGTACAGTAGAAAAATTCTCCGAGAATAAGATGATATTGAAGTTCAAATGCCCTTAATTCAACGGAATTACCAGTTCAGAGTATTACCACTGAATCAAATGCTTACAAGCTACCAAACAGTCAAACTACACTCAAAAGTTTTCTTGATATAAAAGATGCAGAATCAAGGTAAATGGAGAAATGAGGAAGAATCTTTCATACTATGGGTCTCATGTACAAAGGACACAATTACATAAGAAAACAAGTGGTTCCACCTAAACGAAAGAGAAACTTAGAGAACAGAAAGTAAATCATAAGCAAGTTAATTTCCATATAGAAGTGGATTCCAATAGCGTACTTACCACTTCAAGTTCAAGGTCATTTAGCACACAATTAAGGTTCCTTGATGAGTTTAGTCGCCTTGCAGCCTTTGATGGTGAAGAGCAACCATAGGAAACATATCTATAACGACACAAAATTTAATGCATTGCTTAGACAGGAATTCAATTTTTTCTTTGTTTTTTCTGTTTTCATCTGTACATTTTTTTCCACATAATTTGCAAGCTACCTGTGCAACTATAGGTAAAAAATACTGACAAACCGAAACAAGTCCAAATGCATTATGTTACCGGTCAGGTTGAAGCGGCGAGCAAGGGGGTGTTTCTGTACCCACTTTACCTAAACCTGAATTGTAAATGAAGGCAACAAACTTGATGAATTCTAGAAAAATGATAATAAATATGGAATAACTACAGACACAACTTCATAATTTATAGGACTTTATTAAATCATTTTCTAAGAATGTCATGGAAAACATCCAACAAGCATCGAAAGTAGGCGCTGTAGGAATTTAAATATGCGTGCTCGAGTCTAATACATTAATGATTTGTAAAGACAAACAGCAATTCGTAAATTTTTTTATATGGCATTTGAGAAAATAATCTTCAAGCTTTCACTTCATGGAACATACAAAAGTATCTAGGAGCTTCTGGTCAGGAAAAAAAGAATTCACACATAACAAAAAGGATTAACATTACAGCATTCGACTGGTGCAAAATTTCAGGACCTGCAAAATGGTATATACACCTCTCAGTTACAACAATGCATGACAAGGTATCATCTATGGTCCCTTCATAGTTCCATGGTAACAACAAAAGAGAATACATATTTGTATCTCATACACTAGTTTGCTTTTCTGAATGATTTCTGAAGGTGCTTCACTTATTTCTTTAGTATCTTTGTATAACATGATGCACAATATGTACCCAGATATAGTTGACTAGTAATAGAAACTAAAACCAAAAGAATGTTCCACAACGAATGATGTATTACATCTTAATTCAAATTCTGACAAACCAAAACCATACCAGCAACTGAAAATGCAACATGAGCTTCACGAGTTGGACTTCCTAACAAATTTCCATTTGATTCATCATCACTAAGCAAATCAAAAACAGATGATTCTGAAAAACAAATTAGAAGAAAGTGGAAAAGTTAAAGGAATTGTGATAGAATAATTGGCATAAAGACATCCTAATTGGAGATGCACAAAAAGCAAAATTTTATTATTTACCTTGTTGAATTGCTGTCTTCCATAGATCTAGTTTGTTATCAATTTCATAGAAAGCATTGCTGTGATTATCTTGAGAACCAAACTGAACCCTGGGTCACAAACCTCAAATTACTAGTACAAGACAAACTCTTGCCTAAAAACTCTAAGCAATTTAATCAGAAACTCAGCAAAAACTAAACAGATAATGCTAACATATATATGTCCACACTGAAGTCCAAAAATGGACAAAGAGCAGCCTGATAATAGAAATAATCCAAGATCTGCCAATTTAAAGTTGAAATGTAGCTCTTTTTTGATTGCAATAGATTAGAAGTGTAACATGGCCATTCACATCCTCATGCTCTCACTCACTTCTTAGGCGATAGAGTCTCCACTTGGATTTGTGACGGAGAGCCTGATTTCAGAAATATATCAGTACATATAAACATAAAGAAATAGAAAAATATGAAAGAGACTGGATAAGATTCGAAAACTAGATATTGCAAATAAATTACAAAACATACTGGCTGTCTTAATTTCAAGAGAATCTGCAGGATTGACTGTGCTGCCTTGAATCATTGGTGGATTCGTAATAATATGACTTTTGACTGTAGAAGGATTGACCTTTGGATCTTCCCTTCCATGTATGGTTAATAAGTTAAACAAAAGGTAAGGAAAGTTCATAATAATTTTAACACGCCAGAAAGTAGTAAATCAAACTGTTATGAATATGATTAGGAATATAAATAATAAGAGTTGACTATTGTAATCAGTTCTTGAATTAGTAGTTGTTATACTTTTTGTTACAGAGTTAGATAGTTGGTTATGCTCTCTGTTACAAGTAGTAATGAGGTATAAATAGGAAATGCGACGTATGCAAGTACGGTTGTGTAACCTTCCATTCTAATGAAAAACTCTCTCTCTCTCTCTCTCTCTCTCTCTCAACATTAAAGTTTGTTCTGAAAAGCCAGAAAATTATTACTCAGAACATCACAACTTAGTACAGAATTATTAGATTCCTCAAGATTTAATAGCTTGTTAAACTTTTAGACATTACCATAACCAAGAATTAGCTGCCAACCCCAAGTAACACATGAAGGCATCAAACTAAATTCGAGGGTTATAACTAAAGATATTTCAATTGACATTGTCACCCCAAAGTTCAATTGTAATATAATAAACAAATCCAAGAGATAGGATAAAATTGACCCAAGCACTTAAGTTTGTGAATATTTCAGGCCATTGGATCTAAAAACTTCAGATACTTACCACGAGGACAAGCAAGCTTGTAGTCTTGGGAACTTGTGGAAAGGTTTAGCAAATTGAGAATATCCAATGATCGATGCTCTTTGTAATTTTGCTCCCATTTATTTCCTCCTCCTTCAGAGCTCTCAAACCCAGCTGTCTGCTGGTGCTGCAGTCTTCTCTTTTGTTCAAAGTATTGCTTTTGCCTTATATATATATAAAAATCATAAAGAATAAGAACGTTCACGAATCACATTCCTACAACTTAAAACAAACTCAAACTCACAATATAACCTTAAAATGAATGAAAAACCAGCATTTCACTTAATTTACAGAAATTTGTTACGAATCAAATGTTTGTTTCTGTACCTCTTTTGTATGGACTTCCTCGACTTCAAATTTCTCAAGCCATCATTCATAGACAGCAATATTCGAAAGTTAGAAATTGCAATCCAAAATTCAAAACGACAAATGACTACTAAAGCTATTGAATTAAAATTCAAAATAACTGCTTACAGTAGTCACTTTCCTCCTCGATCCTCCCATCCATTGCAGCATTTTGGTAGCTTCTAACGAAGAATAAGCTGAAAATCAAACCTAACGAAATCGAATTTAGTCGAAAGCAAAACTAAGCTTAATCAAGAAATTTCTGTATTATTGGTGTTAAAGTTTCGAGAGTTTAGTCGAAGATATATGAGCACCAGAAAGCGAGTCGAAAACCACATTCTGTGTTGACGTGCTATATACATCTCAAGCTGGGCAAATTTTCCTTTTATAGTTTATCGTAGTGTTGCTGAACGATGTAACGACTTGTCGTTCTGACAAAAAATTGGTGTAAGATCTAAGCAGCCTATATGCTAGCTCGAGTTGGTTAACCTTAACCACCACCAGGATTGAATCCCACAACAATTGAGGAAGGAAAAACGGGAACCGACCAACTACTATTCAATAAATAACAAAAAATAAGTTATTTTGAAAAGTCTTTTATGTGAAAAAATATTCTTTTAAGGTAAGTTTTTTTTTTTTTTTTTTTTTAAAATATTCTTATTAAGGTAAGTGTTTTTTTTTTTTTTTTTTTTTCCGGAAATGAAAACTTTGAGTCAATGGAGGTTTTATTAATATTTTACTTTAATTTTTTTTTTTTTTTTTTTTTCCGGAAATAACTTTGAGTCAATGGAGGTGTTTTATTAATATTTTTACTTTTATATTTATTTTAAATAATTAGATTTAATAAATTTTTTTTAAAAGGTGTTATGATTTCTCAAGTAAGTTTGTAATTGTAACCACATTTAATAAAATATTTTTATTAATTATTCTGGAGATTAATGGGTGCTAAACATTATTAATTTACTTTAAAATTATGTTGTAATAGAATTCATGGATTGAAATATTCTTGAATTTCCTATAGATATATTATTATTTTGAAGAATTTCAATTTAAAGTTGTTTTATTATGAGTTGTAAATAAAAAAAAAAAAACTGCTTTATTAGAAACCTAATGATATTTTTATATTATTGTGATAAGTGAATTGCAGTGTAAAAATGGCAAAATATATAAATTAACACTTAAATTTATAAACAAAAATCTAATGGCATTTTTCATATTTATTTTGATCTATTAACTCTTTTAATGAATTAACTTGTAAGATTATGTTTTCTGAACAATTTAACTTGAAAATTATATTTATTTTGCATAAATTACTCGTATCCAAATCCTGTTAATAGGACTACTAATCGAGCTCAAGGCTTACTCACAAAAATTACTATTTAAAAAATATATAAATTATTTTATTGGTTTAAAATAGTATTAGATAATTAAAAATATAAATTTTTATATTTTAAAATATATAATTTTACAAGTTAAATATAATAAATATAATTTTGTAAATTATAATGTGCTAATTGATACATATTGAGTATGCAAAGAGTATGTATGTACAGTGATCGTAGAGTAGATTACATGTGATGTGAGTGTGATAAAAAGGTAAACAAAATTAAAAAAACGAAAGAAAGGAGGAATTGGAGCATTGGGGCCTTGTGGGGTGAGAACTGAGAACGGAAAAGGAAAGAAAGGAGGAGGAGAAGAAGAAAGAGAACCCAACCTATTTTCTCGATAACCGCCAAATTCCAATCACCGGCGCCATCTCCAGCTCCTTCGCGATCAGGATCCTTCCTTCTTTCATCATTATTTCACCGGAAAATCACTTATACAAGAAGAAAAAAACTAAATCCCAGGTTGCCATAGTCATTTCTCATATCTTCTCAAGTGGCGATTAGCTCTAAGTTAACCACTTCAATCATTTTCACAGTATTTAGGCAACATTTTACAGTATCACGTGGGTAAGTCTAAATTTCTGAGCAATTTTCTTTTAAATCAGCAATTTGTGCATGATAATTGATTTCAATTAGATTTAAAGAAAATAATGAACATGCATTCTTCTTTCATATTAGGATTCGATGGAATTTTAATTAATATTTGTAGGATGCTTGAAATACAATTTATGTTGATATGGTTGGAATAGATGAGAGCCTAATGAGGAGTATTGCTGTGCCATAGATGCATGAAAAGATTTGTTTTTTTTTTCCCTTTGAATTTTTATACGGGGTCTTTGTTTAATGAATGATCCTGAGATGAATTCCTTAGATTAATATTTAATTTTTTTGTGGGAGATGTAGAGAATGATTATAACATTAACTGGAATTATAATTTTAGCATTGTGAAGTAATATACTGGGATATCTTAAAGATTGAATTTGAAAGGAAAACTTTTCCTACACTAGGTGTAAACAATTGTCTCATACACTAAGCCAATGGGTGAATTAAAATTTTTCCTAAAGGAGTCTTTTGGCCATTTTCTTTCCCAGTGAAAAGAAACCCTTACCCCTCTTTGGTCCACATGTTAGTTTCATATTATATAGGTGTTTAAATTGGGTGTAGGTGAGACCGACTCAATTTGGAAAACGGGACTATTCAAACGGAAAAATGATTGCTACATTGGGTGTCTGTTCATCTTTATACCCCCCAATCAATAGTTAATTGTCATTCAAAAAAAAAAAAAGTGAAACATACCTTCATTTACCTCAATTTATTAAATTTGTTGAGTCTATATACCCGGTATAATTCTTTCCCTCTCAAAGCAAGGGAGTGGCTCTCCTCAAGTTCATAATTTGTTCATTTTCCTGAACTAACACGATTACTAACACCTTTTGGAAATAAATTCCATGGTGAATATTCTCCACTTTAGTGACTCTTTTATGCGCTTTAATATCGTTTCTATTGTTCCATTCTGTTTATAGACCTCATCAAATATTCATCATTTCAATTTTAGAATCCAAATAATTTCTCTTCTTGTACAAAATTTGGGAACTTCTACGCAAGAATTTTCTTTTCTAAAAGCAACATAAACTCATGATAAAATGATCTTAGTATCAAAGGCATAGATGTAGAATTGCTAGACTTAACTTTGAGTAGAGATTATGGTCATTTTTGGGAGCACTAGGTGAGGAACTGAGAATATCAAATGGGAATAATTAAAAGAATTCAGCATAAAAAATGTTTTACTGATTAAATTCTTAATTCCCATTTGTACATGGCAAGAACACTTTTTATGATATACATCGGCATAAATTCGTGAAAATAAAGCACAGGGAAGAGCCCCCCTCTATGCTATTTTTCTATCCAGTTTCCATTGGTACAAGACGCAGTGTAATAGCTTTCTTCTTTGATGTTCGAGAAATTCAGATTTTCCTTTTTATTTTTGAAATTATCAAGGTCAAATTTTTGTGGATAGGATCGAACCCTATTTCTTAGTTTTAAAATGTTTTAGTTGTTGTTTTGGAAGAATCCCTTTGATTTAGGTGCATAATCTTATAAAACTCGTTTGGAGTAAGGAGAAGTAATGATGGTGTGCTACAATCTTATCCATTGGATCCATTTTAATGAGGTGTCAGTAATCCTAGATGATTACTTGTGGAGATGGAGCAATTATGAACTTGAGCTAAGAATTTGAATGGAACAGTAATTTACTTATAATTGTAGTTTTGACTATATATTCTAAACTCATACTTGGCAGTGAAATCTATGTGGTTTAACAGATGGCAAGAATTTCTAGGACATTAGAAAAAGAAAAATTTAGGACTAGATAGTTACTAACAAAAACTAACTATCATTTTATTAAGATTTTTGTGACACTTAAATATTATAGATTTTTGGTTGAATGATGAAGATGGATAAATAGAGCCTGGTTATAAGTGGAGAAAAAAAAATGGAAGAAGAAGAAAATAGATAATCATACTTATAGTACTTAAGCATTGACACCCTTGTTTTGATAAAATAATAATCACTTAAATTCTCCTTTAGATGCTTAAATTTCAGGTTCATATGTTCCTTGACATCTTGTGCTTGCTTGTCTTTGGATAAGTTACTAATGAATTTTCAAAATGGAGAATGCCAATATAATGATGATGGAAATGGAAATATAACTGGAGATCTCAGACAAAATCCTTTTCTTTCCTTTCAAAGTTCTACTTGATTACTTTAAATATCAGGTAGAAATACTTTAAATCAAGTAGAAACTGAGAAATCTCAGCTCTCAGTTTTAGTGGGAGAAAGAGCGAGACTGATATGAAAGATATATTGAGCCTCAAAACTATTTGAATCTCTATAAACATACACTCAAGTTATCAATTGAAGCAGCGAAACTTCAACACCCAGTCCTATTTCTCACTTTTAAGTCTCTTTAAATTTTTTTACTCTCATTTTCTTTCTTCGATCCTGATCCTCATCCCATTTTTTGTTTTGAAATTCTTTTTCACTTAATTTGTGTTTACAAAAATTTGTTATAGATCTCCTGATTGTATGAAAAATCCATAATTTTTAACAATTATAAATGATAGACTAATTTCATTTTATTTGTGTTTGTGGTAATGTGGTTTTGAAGAGTAGGTGTGTTTACATCTATCTATGTTTGGAGGACAAGTGATAGCGCCTGGAAATAGTCCGCATCTGAGGAAGTCTGGTAGCCGACCTGTTGTCTTTGATCTTGGTAGAAAAAGATCATGATAAAGCTTTTTTTTAGATGTATTGAATGACTACTTGTTTCTTAAAAAAAAAAAAAAAAAAAAAAAAAACAAAAAGAAAAAAAAAATTTTGGCATACTAATTTATTTTATGGTATCTTGTTTGTAATTATGGAGCAACCTTGTGCAATTTGTGCAGTCAGTGAGCAGGTAAATGGTTCAAGGAAGGTTTCTTGCATTCAATTGAGTCGCTGATTTTTTCTTAAAAAAAAAAAAAAAAAAAAGAAAAAATTTTGCATACTTATTTATTTTTATGGTATCTTGTTTGTAATTATGGAGCTAACACTTGTGCAATTTGTCAGTCAGTGAGCAGGGAAATGGTGCAGAGGAAGGTTTCTTGCATTCAATTGAGTCGCCTGATTTGAAGAGTATGATTACACCAATTAGTACTGCTGCAATAATGCCATCTCCAATATTGTTATGGAGATTTAAGGTTTTGCTTTAATGATATACTAACATCTATGTTTCTTCCAGAGTATTATTTGTATTTCTTCTTTATGATGTATTTATTAAATTTATATGCATATTTTGGTTATCTGAAGAAGGACTAAGGTGAATGGACTTTAAGTGACATTTTGTAGATTTGATTATTCCTATTTATTTCTCCATGTATGAATTGGTTCTGCTAAATGAAGGAATTAATTGTTGGAGTATAATTTCTATTTTGTAACATCTGCTTTTACCTTTGATTTTGTGGTTGAAAAATTGAATGCTAGTATGCCAACTTTTTTTTTTTCCTCCTAAGATTATTTCTCCTGTTTATGGTGGGTTGTATTCTGATTTTACTCTATATTTACACCATTTATTAGTCCTTTTTTTTTTTTATCCATCTCTGATGATCCTAATGAGGTTTAATGTTCAGGTACTATTGTTCTTTCTTTGGGGTTTCATTTGCTGCAAGGTGACTTTAAATTTCATTTGTTGTCCTTGGTTTTTATTTGGATATTTTAGAGTTGATGGCTGCATAAGGAGCATCTGAAAGACCTTTGAATTTCATCATGTTGCTTGTATTATATCTCTGTAATGGATACATGTGAAAATTGCAGATTGGATGGGATTCTGTCATGAGAATGAGTGTGGATTTGCGGGACCTTTTTCTATACGAGGCATTTTTGTATTACAATCCTCTCCTTCTTGTGGTTAGTAATGGTGTTTGTCGTAATTGGGACCTGAATGAGACCAATTTAGTTTGATTCTTACATTCTCTTTATTGCTACTAAGAATGTTATCTTCTGGTTTTCATATTGTAGACTATGATGGTTTGGCTTTGGGGAGTTAATTTATGGGTTTTTGCCCAATCTACCGTCAATTATGCAAAAATTTTTGATCTTGACCAAAATCATCTGACCCATAGAGAAATCTGGAAGGTTTGTATTTGAAAACTACTGCATTAGTTTATTATGGTTTAGTTGTCCTTTTTGGACCCTTATTAACAGTGTATCCATTACTTTACAACTTATAAAGTAGTTTAATTAATTGGGGTTTACTTTTCTTATGTTGCACCCTTGTTTTCCAACTCTTATAATTATTGCTATGCTATCTTGCCATTTTTAAGCCTTTATGTTGGTTAGTAACATGCTTCCGTGCTTGCGCGCTATGTAGACTTGTTGGATTTTTATGATTGGAACCATTTTGCACCCAACCTGTTTGATCTAACTCTTACCTCTTACAAATTTCGTCATTGCTCCATGCATGTCAGTAGAATTTTAGTCATGCTTACCAAATTAATTGTGGAAAATAGTGAAAGAAGGAAAGGCACTTCTAGAGAAAGAGAATGTTATGGATCATGGTTGATTCTCGTTCATGAATTTACATTTTAGTTTCTGGACAGGGTAGCCTATTTAGATGAAGGGTGTAAACATTAAGCTATACTAGTACAGTGATGAATGCTTTTTTGAGCACTTGTTACAACATGTGATGTAGCAAAATGTAAATTTCCAGAGAACCTATTTCATTTATTGTTGCAGAATTATTCTCATTTCTTTTACTGGTCTAGAAATTAATTTTAATCTTGAGTGTTGGTTTTAAGTTTTCTTAAGCTATATACTTATTGTTAGTGTTGACACTTTTTCAATGCAATATTTTATTTTGATATTTGCAGGTTGCTACGTGGATGACCATTGTCGTCCCAACTAGCATGACTGCATATCTTTACCTTTATTCTCATGGAGAAGTATCGTTGGCTGCATCACAACCAGTGTAATAGATGCTCTTATTAATTGCATCTTATGTGATTATACCATTAACTTTAATTCAGATTCAATCGCATTTAAAATTTTTAAACAATTGTTTTAATCTTTATAATTTTTTTCCTGCATAAGTTAAGATTTTAACTGATGCTAATTGCTGTAAAGGGGGAAAAAAGTTTTGTTTCATATATTTAATAATATCATAGCTAGTTTCCTAATACAATGGTGCTATTTTAATCTACATTGCTATTGCCACACAGTGGTTACAGAAACAGTGAAAATAATAACCTGCTGAATTGGGAGTTTCATAAACAATTCAAGCTTTGGTTTTTCTGTATTGGTAGATTGTTATGGATAGAGAATGAGATGGATTGATTACATGCGCATAATTTTCAAAAACATGGTCTGACAATCTGTATTTCAGTTTACTTGACAAAGTTTGTTAGTTAATGCTTCACTTTGCTATATTATTATGTGAAGCATAATGTTCTATCCTTTTTTGACTGGAATGAACATCTTGATTTTTAAAGATTAGAGTCTTAAGATTTGAGTTGTGCTATAACATTTGAGTTCTTAATTTTGAAGCGGATACGAGTATAATTTTAACTAGAATCGGAGAGTGTATGAAAATTCTATGGAATAATATTAAGAATCATCTGTTCATTTGTAATAAAAGTATGATCTGTTACTCCATATATCATGATTTTATAACCATATATCATTTAGACAAAAGTAAACTCTGTATCTTTTGATTACTGTTATGATGTTGGAAATGCATTCAGTTAACACTCTCTATTGCAGGTCGTCTTATATTTTGCTGTTGTGATGGTTTTGATATTCCCCTTTGATATCTTTTATTTATCATCTCGCTACTACTTGTTGAGGACCCTTTGGCGGATAGTTTTCCCACTACAGGCAAGTTGTTATTCCATGTTATGGTTAACTCTAATCAAGAACTGAATAGATAAGTGAATGAGAAGAGGAAAATTTAGGTTTCACCTATCATATTAACTTGAAAAAAGATGTCTTGCTAGATTCTTCCTTGTATATGGACTCCAGTTGGTTGGGAAATTTTGTCAAAGCTACTAACCAGATAAAGTGAGTGAGATCAAAATTATCTAACTTGCTCAAACATAATTTTAACAAATTATTTATGCTAAAGAAAAAGCTGTATAAACCATGTGATGCATGCAACTTTGAGACGAAAATGCTGCCAAGCATGATGCAAATAAGGAGTCATCAACTGCAGTGGCAGCTTGGTAGGTCGTCTCACTTGATTATGCTGTCATATAATGGTCGTCTCACTTGATTATGCTGCATATAATGGTCCCTAGAAAATATACTATTGGGAGTCATTAGTCTGATCTACACAATGGTTAGCTGGCTCCCATAACTTTCCTATGCACATGAGGAGCCAGAATGTGCATCAGTGGACCAATAGATCATTTCTTACTGTCTGGTAGAGGAATTTATGCTGTTATCTTACCTTTTTTTTTCTAAAAAAATTTCTGCTGTTTTTATGAGCTTGGCTGCACTGTGTTTGATTTTATATTTATATTCTTGTTACAGGCAATAACTTTTTCGGACTTTTTCTTGGCTGATATTTTGACTTCCATCTCAAAGGTATGCATTCTATCATCTACTTTTTAGGCATTTTTTTAAAGCTTACTCGTGCACGTGAAGTTGCATATATTATAGTGTTTAATCCCACTGCCCTCCTCTCTGTTACTTTTTAATTTGTAAACCTGTGTTACATTAATACTTTAGAAATTAGGAACTTGTACTGTATCTAAAAATTAAGATTTTTGGTTCCTTTTATTAATTGTAGGTGATTCTAGTTGTTGACTAATGTGGTTAGTCATGGAAGGAGATAAGTTTACGACTGCATTTTCAACTGGTTGATGTTTTTAGTTATTGGCACTTTTTATTCTTCTGAAAAATGGCTATATTCATGGCTCCTTATTGTTGGAAAATCAACTTTGAATCAGCTGATGATTACAAATAAAAAGAAGGCCATGAACACAAATTGTTTTATTCCTTTTCTTGCTTGTAGTAAATGACAACCTCTTTCCATTACATCATCCTCTTTGTCTTGTTCATTGTTCGTCTTTCATTAGTTGTATCAGTTTAAATTATTGGCGAGTCTTTCTTTAGTTTTATTATTTAGCTATTAATTATAATTTAACAATTATTAAATAGTAGATACCAATATTGTATTCAGAGCAAGAAATTAGCATACAGTTGATATTTATATATTCTACCACTCTTATCACGTGATATTCTCATAAATGTCAATTCTGTGCAGGTATTTTCAGATTTGGAGCGTTCAGCATGTCGGATGGTTCATCGGCAGGTCAGTGTTTTTCATTTTCTTTGTGCAAAGTTAACCCGTTCAAAGTGCATATCTTGCATATTCTTGATAAACCAGCATTTAATAAAAGGAGTTAGGAGGTCCTATTTCAAAAACTAAGAAGCTCTCTTAACATCTTTTCATTTTCAAAAAATTCTCGATGTGGAAGTAGACAGACAAAGGGAATACCTTTGTCCTAAAAACCCATAAATGCTCGACCTGTGGTTGCATGGCATCCCAATTCCAATCCTTTTTTGACTACTAAATCTGTTAAACCATTCTTGTATTGATTTCTGTCATATATATATTGGGCTATTATCAGAAGTTCCTGCTCTTCTGAATGTAGCTGCTAGATGTAGTGATCCATACTGCAAACTTTTTATTTGACTCATGCAGGTTGCTACCATTGCATGGTTTGAAGCTGATTCTGTTTGTGGCAGTCATTCTATTGCCATCCCTTTAGTCCTCGTTTCGCCTTATATTTTTAGATTATTCCAATGTCTTCGACAATACAAGGACACAAAGGAGAAAACATCTCTCTTTAATGGTACATTCACTTTGAAATTCCGCTCTGATCTGTTCCCTTTTTTTCTTTGATTTATATATTACTAAATATCTTTTTTCCCTCTAGTTGTTTTTGAATTGTGTTGAACACGTAGCGAATTGGTCGGCCTTTATGCAAAAATGGTTTTATGATCTTTGGCAATGCATCATTTATTGTTGGTCTGCTGACTTAAAAAAACCTGTAATGCGATCCCATTTCTAACACTAAACTGAGAATGACTTGTTGTCGAGTTAGTAATAATTATCATTGCTTGACCATCTCTCAGTGATTATCACTGCAATGAAAAATTTAGAAAATGAGAGTGGCTTGGTTTTGAGGAATTCTAAAATTCATATGAGAAGTGATCCTAATCTCTTGAAATCTGTGTTCTGTGGTCATTAGTTTTTTCTGGTTCTCATCTGGTGCAATTTTATTTTGTTATAACATTTGAATTAGCTGAAGCAAACTTGAATTGCATTTTTATTATAAAAATCTTTTCCTTCTTTTTTTTTGTCTTGATTTAACTCATTGCAATTGGATATTATTATGTTTTCTTTTTTGGAAAAAAATACCACCTACAAGTTTTGAGCTTTTCTATTTGGGCTTTGCATTTAGGTTATTGTTGCTCGAAAATTGCAGTAACTTTTTTTGCTTGTGGTTTCAGCTTTAAAATATTCAACTGCGGTGCCAGTGATTTTCCTTTCGGCACTTAAATATCATGTTGTCCCTGATAGTTGGACAAATTTTTATAGGCCTCTCTGGCTTTTATCAAGTGTTTTGAACTCGTTGTATTCATTCTACTGGGATGTGACTCGGGATTGGGACTTGAGGTATGTTGTTTGCTCTTTAACTGTTTCACAATTATAGTCAATTGTACTCGCTGTCTCGGTCTTAAAGCTTGAGAATGCCATTTTTTAGTTTGGTTTCCACTTAAGCTGGATGGGCATTGCAGAAAGTTTAAATTATTTACAAATCTTCAACAACAATCATTAATTAATTTCTTTTTCTTTTGCTAGCTGCTTCACTCGAATTTTCAAATTCAACAGACCAAATATCTGTTCATACCTGATATATGGACGAAAATGGGTAAGAATATATATTCAATGTAGCATCCATTCAGGCTTTGATATATAACTGAGCTTCTAGGATTACAGCTGACCTGTCTAGTTAAACCAGAACCATTTTTGCCTGATTGGTTTAACACCTGAATGGACAAATTCATTTGATCCAATCATTGAACGTTGATTTTGTTCAAGCAATGCAATCTTCTTTTAGTGCAAAATTTATTTTAGGCTGAACTAACCCTTATATTTGATTAACCTCTCTCTTCGCTTCTAACTGGTTTGGTGGCTGGCCTAGTAATCAGTTTCTCTATTTTAACTATATGAATTTGTGAATTGCAGGTATATTTTTGGGTGATAGGAAGCAACTTGATTCTGCGTTGCACGTGGACTTACAAGCTCTCTGCTCATCTCCGTCATAATTACCTCACCGTGTTCACAATTACTCTCTTGGAGATGGTCCGTCGTTTCCAGTGGATTTTCTTCCGCGTTGAAAATGAGTGGAATAAAATGAGTTCAAAATCAAACATTCAGCTTTCTACTGCTGAAACTGAGGAAACCAAGTTATTAGATTCCAGTCATCATAATGTATAGACTATTAATGATTATATGGCTAATTACCAGCGTCATGGAGGTTTTGAACGATGCCTTCCATATTTTTGCTGAAAGGGTTTATTCATTCTATTTTTAATTTTCAATTTATATAATTTTTTTTTATTCATGGAGGAATAGGCTCTTTGATCTTTTATCTGATCATATTATGTTGAAGGTCCATCGACCATCAGATTCTGAGTCTTCCAACCCCCCTCCCCTTTTAATAATTTGAATTCGATATAGATTATTACCGGATTTTTATCTTCCATTTATGAAAATTCAGAGTTATGTTTGCAAAGCGAATTAGATACGCTCTCTAGTACAAGAGTAAGATAAAAATGGTGTATGTTTTTAAAATTTGATTTGGAATATAGGCTCTGGAAAATTCAAATTAGATACAAAATTGATTTTTGGTTATTACAAAAGGAATTGTATGCCTCTTAATCTTGAAAATGTTTATATATATGATGTTTTTCTTTATTCATACAGCATAAATTAACACTTGAGTAATCTGGAATTTTTTTTTATATTGCTAGACGATGATTTGGCCGTGTTATTGTTAAATATGAGAAAAATGCATAATGATAAATTATGGCAGTTTTTGGGAACAAGTGATCAGTGGATCAATAAGTTTGTGTTTGTGTTTAAAGGTTATAATAAATTTATCTAACACGTAGAGTCCGTTTGGAATAAATGAATTTCATAAAATTTCGTGAAATTTATTTCGAAATCCAAAATTATTGTGTTTGTAATAAAAAAAAATACAGATTTGAATTCTACGAATTGAATTCTATGGAATTGAATGTGTCTAACTCAAATTCTACTAAAATTGATAGAATTTATAAATGAATTTCACAAAATTGATCATTGAAATGTTTATTGACAAAATTACTCTTCACTATAAACTCAACTACCTTAACTTTTTTCTTCCCTTTTATTTATTTTCTTTGGAAAATTTCAAACTATAGCAACGTTATTTTTTTAATCCAATAATTACATTAATCTATATTTTTATTTTTTTTCCTTTTAGAAAAGTTCAAACCAGTAATGATATTTTTTTGCTTTTTAAAGTCTAGTAATAACGTTAGTTATTATTACTTTGAAACTATAAAAACTAAGTGTCAACGATTGTTTTTAAATGCAATTAAAAACAATAATAAAATTCTTAATATTTTTTTAGTTTCCAAATTAATTACCTAAATCAATATAATTTTTTTCATCAATTAAAAATAAATATTATGATGAATATTACTGTTTATATAATTAATTAATTAGCGTGGAATATTAGGGTACTTATTTATATGAAATTTATTATTTATATTTTAATATAGCAAACTAGTAACGTTATGTTTTTATAATGCCAAATATATTACATTAATTAATATTTTTATTTTTTTTTCACTTTTAGGTGAAAAGTTCAAAACCAGTAATGGGATATTTTTTTGCTTTTTAAAGTCTAGGTAGTAACGTTAGGTTTATATTATTTGGAACTAAAAAATAAGGCTGTCAACGATGGTTTTTAAAGTGGGCAAATTGAAAAACAATAATAAAATTCTTATATTTTTTAGGGTTTCCAAATTAAATTACCTTAAATCAATTATAATTTTTTTCATCAATTAAAAATTAAATATTATGATGGGGAAATAGTTAACTGGTTTTATATTTAAGTAATTAGGCGGTGGAATATTAGGGTACTTATTTAATTTGAAGATTTATTATTTATATTTTAAAAAAAAAGGACAAGTTGTATATTGTACAATAATTATAATAAAAAAAAGACAAGTTATTATATTGTACATAATACATATAATTGGTGTTTGTTATTTATTTTTGTTAAATTATTATGTCAATAGTGGAATTCAATTGAATTCCTTATATTAAATGGTAGCATACTAAACATGACAGATTCATTTGCAAATGAATTATACAACCATAAGTCATTTGTTCCAAACAGATTCTTAAAAAATATTTTCTATCTTTTAAAAAGAGAGATATTCATAGAGAAGCTAATTCTGATGGAGCATTGAAGATGAGTAGAGATTTCCATTTGGTGCCTTCCCCTTCTACTATGATTTCTCATCTTTTAGAGGGTGACAAAGCAGGTGTCTTTTGGCTTTGGAAAGTTGTTTAATTTTGAGTTTACTACAAGTATATATATATATATATATATAGGGAGTATTTTCCTTTAAAAAATATCATAGTTTTCTTTTCGACTAAAAAATATTTCCATTGACTAATATCAAAAAAATCAATAAAATATTTTTTAGATATTTTTTGTGAAAATAAATGGCATTACAAAAACTTTTTTGAATTTCTTAATTATATTATAAATTATAGACTAAAGATAAATATAGATAGATTTGTAAGGGTAGGACTAGGATGTGTGAAAACGAGATTGATACCATTCCAAATTACTTTCTTCACAAGGAGCCATCTTGCTTGACTAGCGTTTGTTTTTAAATCCCAAACAAGAAGAAGCAAATTAGCATATTGCATTGTTGACGTGTATTCGGTGAAATTAATTATTTTAATAGCTGTTAACTGTTAGCTGTTTAATTAGTTTTTTGTGAAACGCTAAAGAAGTTCAGTATTATATGAGTTAACATTTTATAAAATGCTATTTTAATCTCTAAAAGTTAATTCACTCTATATTACCGAATACTATAAAAAATAGCGATTAGTATTTTTGATCGTCAAAACATTAAAAATTATTTTAAAAAAACTGTTCTTGAATACTGCCAAATGCAGGAAGAATAGAAAAATGAACATAACTATATAAGCAATGACATCATCATTCTTTTCATATTAAATTGTCAGTGATACGTAGCAAGGAACAGCTATAAATAAGTGGTAAGTAACAAATAAAAACATTTTCTTTTTTAGAAAAAAAGAAATTCTCATTCATCAAGCAAGATGGAAAAGAAAGTGATTGTATTGGATTTTTGGCCAAGCTCTTATGCAATGAGAGTGAAAATTGCATTGGCAGAGAAGGGAATTGAATATGAAGCCAAAGAAGAAAACCTTGCAGAAAAGAGCTGTTTGCTTCTTGAAATGAATCCAATTCACAAGATGATCCCTGTCCTTATTCACAATGGGAAACCCATTTCTGAGTCTTTTAACATTGTCCAATACATTGATGAGGTATGGAGCGATACTTCTCCTTTGCTTCCCACTGATCCTTTTCTGCGATCCCAAGCAAGATTTTGGGCTGATTATATTGAGAAGAAGGTCAGTCAATTGATATTTCACTCTAAACTCTTCAATCAATCTAAATTCTGTCACTCTCTAATTAATTTTTAATTTTTTCTTAAATGCATTTAAATCTGTAGCTTATTCGAATTTAAAAGAGCAATTCATTTAAAATACTCTGACTTTTACGGGTTGTATAATTGTACCTTATTTTGATCTTAATCCCGAGGACACCCTAATTTTAAAATTTTATAATAATTGGACCTTAATTTAAAATTATGGTCTAAAAAATAATAAACAATATAAATATGGACCCACACACTGACACAAGGGTTAAACTAACTCAACCCCAAACTGTGCTTTGAACAGACCATTTAGCACAAAACATTCTAAAAACCCTAAAAAATCCAAATTTCCACCATCGATTAACGCTTTTTTTGCATATTATTAATTGTAAAATGCTAGTTGAATCTAAAGAAACATGTATGTGAATTATTTTCAATGCAGATTTACATGAATGGAAAGAAAATATGGAGGGAGAAAGGGGAAAATCAAGAGGCAGTAAAGAGGGAGTTTATAGAAGGGTTGAGGACACTAGAAGTAGAGTTGGGAGAGAAGCTATATTTTGGTGGTGAAAGAATTGGATATGTTGATATAGCACTTATTCCCATTTCTAGTTGGTTCTACTCTTTTAAAATATGTGCAAATTTTAGTATAGAAGCTGAGTGCCCTAAAATTTCTTCATGGGTCAAGAGGTGCTTGCTAAAAGAGAGTGTTCAAAACTCACTTCCTGACCCTCTCAAGATCTATGGCTTTGTTTTGATGCTCAAAAAGAAATTAGGGTTAGACTGAAGTTTTCCATTTAGTGCATATGTAATGTGAAAAATGAAATAAATTGTTTGGTGCAAGTTCCTTTCTAATCTTCTCTCTTTGGGTGACTTTTAAGCAGTATGGGCTTATAATTTGCTTGTTTGATCTAATTTGTTTCTTTTTTTAAATTTAGATACTCTTATGTGTAAATTAATTAATTAATTCATTAATCATTTTTTACTGAAAGGAGAATCATGCCTTGAGATCAAGAGGCATTGCAATTTTTTTTTTTTTTTTTTTTTTTTTGAGATCAAAGAGGCATTGCAAATTTTTTTTTTTTTTTTTTTTAAGAATTAGAGTATTGTTGTTGTTTTTTTTTTTTTTTTTTTTAGAATTAGAGTATTGTTGTTGTTGATAATGATTATGGTTGGATTCAATATTGTCAAATTTTGATAAAATTAGTTCATATTCTCATTTTCACCTATTTATATATTATTAAAAATAATACTTTTAATTATTGCCAAATAGATTATCTAAAAATTAAAAAAAATTACAGTATGATCCATGTGGTTTGAAAAATACAACTAATCTGTCTCTGTTTTTTTTAAATAGATTAAAATATCTTTATATTTTACTTCCGTTAGACTATTAAATCCTTCCATCCAATTATTACATTTTTCCATTAAATATCTTATGAAATGACAAAAATATCCCTTTTATTTTTTAAAAACACAAGGACAGACTAGTTGTATTTTTCAAACTATAGGAACCGTACTGTAATTTTTTATTATAATATTTTAATATCTCTCTATTGACCTCTGTGTTTTCTTGTTGTCCTAACAGAAAAGATGCAAAAAATAGACAGAAGAACCTAATAGTATAACGGAAGCAAAACATAGAGACAAATTAGTATATTTTAAAAAAGACAAGAAATGACTAGTTGTATTTATCAAACTACAGGGATTGTACTATAATTTTCTCCAAAAAAATTAAATCCGGTACACATAAAATGATTTGAAAACATTAGTAATTATAAAAATCGAAACATGTATAGTTTTAAAATTTTAATTCATTCAAACATTTTAATAAAACAAAATCAAGTACCAAGACAAAAATTTTAAAAATCTTAGCTCTTATATGTCAAGAATAGTAAATAGCAATAAACCCTAATTTTAATTAAATATTGTTAGAAAAAATCTAGAGTATTAAGAAATTGACCCATTTTATAGAACCAATTAAGAGCTATTAGTAAAAATGAGAGTATTTTAATAATTTTTGCAACGTAATTTAATTGTTTAATTGAAATGTCATTGCATTTAATTTTATTTAAGCTAATTATTGATCTAATTGAATTTTATTTTTATTTTAATCAAACTTAGCCTTTTTTTTTTTTTTTATGTTTTTATATGATTCAATTAATTTTAAGTATTTCTATGGATTTTCTTGTGTTATATGATTTTCCTTTTGTATATATATATATATAGTTTGAGTTTGTCTGAGAAAAAAATGGATATTATTAACAATAATTTCCATGATAAACAATAAACTAAAATTTGAATTTGCCTGAGGAAAAAAAAAAAATAGAGAGCTCAGACATGCTCCATTCCATCTGATTGATCAGATCAGATAGCTAGATAGACCCCATCTATCACAAAGAGCACAGGCGTCATCACAGCCTCAAACTGCACCAGCCGGGAATCGAACCCGGGTCTGTACCGTGGCAGGGTACTATTCTACCACTAGACCACTGGTGCTTGATGCTTAACTTCTCAAGGTAATGATTTTATTTCTTCAGACAAGGATTTAATTATATTTAAACCAAATTTGGTTATGTTTAATTATTTCCTTTGATTTTGAAAAAATTAATTATATAAAGAATATCAATGTTCTACTTAATAAGAATCTAATTTCTTTTTTTAAATAGCCTTCATTTTGCATCTTGTTTAAATATTTTAATTTCTATGATATATATCATATCTCTAAATTTTTTTGAATATTTACGCGAATTAATTTATTATATAAATCAATGTAAATCTTTCAAACGAACAAAAACTGCAGAAAAGCATATTTTAAGAATTTTAATTTCTAATACTAAAATAAATCTATTCTTGGAGATCTATTTCATTGAACTTAACTAATAAATAAATGTTATATTTTTTTAAAAAAAAGAGCATTAATTAATTTATTTACTAGCTTTTATTTTATTAATATTCATCTATTCCAAAAAAGAAATATTGTAAATTAATCATTAGATTATAAAAATATTCTGAACTTTGCACGCTATTATAATTACTTTTTACTTTCAATCATAACATATTTGTCTCAAAATTTCATTTTACAGTATACATATTAATTTGTTTTTTTAGGGGTACTTATTAAAAAAAGTTAAAAATGATATGATTATAACAAATCACAAAGTTTACCGTATTTTTGCTTATTAAGCCAATATGATAATGGAAGTGCTTGGATAAATTGTTTTATGCTAACTAAATAAAAGGTTAACTGTCTTATCTCTAATTAATTTGTGTATTAAGTGTTCTCTTTAAAAATATTAAATAATTTTGGGTAGAGTTATTTCCAAATCGCATTTTGTTAATACCAGAGAAATGAATTTTTTTTTTAATATTAAATTGATTATATTATCCTTTCTAACTTAGAAATTTATCATTAAGACAAGAAGTATAAAAAATTATTTGTTGCCATATATTGAAGACTCGTGTTCTAAAAAATGAGACACATCTTGATGTCAATTTTGCAGCATTTCAATAACTCTGCCTTCCTTTCTTCTATTGCAGAATGGTTCACCAACCAAAATAAATTTCATGATTTATAGTATGAACTGAGTCTCATTTCTGGTCACAAAAAGTCAGCTCTAGTTCTTGACGACAAATAATAATTTTTTCCGTAAATACTGTGTAAACGATCTAAAAAAGTATTAAAATATAAAAAAAATTCAACAAAAATGAGATAAAATTTATGGATACCTTTTTTGGCTTCATTGCAAGATATTTCATCAATTATGGATACCCAGAGGGAAAATCCTTCAATATAAATTTTCTAACTATTCATTTCACCTCTTTCTACTTCTTTATCAAACACAAGGAAGAAAATACAGGATTGACTTTTAATGGTAGATCTGTAAAAAATTTGAGCTTTTAATTATTTACAATTTCTTAGTGTGATTAATTGATTTTATCATGGATTAATCAGTTTTATTGATTTGAAAGAGAAATAGAAAGCCATGAGTTCAAGAGCCGGAAATTTTATGGGTTAAACGTAATATTTAACTAAAGAGAAATAGAAAGCCATGAGTTCAAGAGCCGGAAATTTTATGGGTTAAACGTAATATTTAACTAAAGGATGATTTTATGGGTTAAATATAATATTTAACTACAAGGATCATATAGTCAGTTTAATATTAAAAAAATAAGTTGCTCTATTACTAACACAATGCGCTTTGGAGATAACGCTATCCATAATTTAACTTGGTTTTATTATAAAAATTTGTTGAGAGAAAATAAATTCCTTTTTCAATATATGTTTATTTTTAAATACTAAATAGTATTATAAGAAAAACTGTTAAAAGAAAATAAAATTCCTTTTCCGATGTATTTTTACTTTTAAATACTAAAAAAGTGGGGGGGAAAGAAAAAAATTAAGAGCTCAGATGTGCTAATGAATTCAGCTGTTGAAGATCTGACGACTGCGATAGACCCCTCTACCGCCAAGAGCACTAACTTCATCATAGCCCAAATGCAACAGCCGGGAATCGAACCCGGGTCTGTACCGTGGCAGGGTACTATTCTACCACTAGACCACTGGTGCTCGATGTTCAATTCCCAAATTATTTTAATAAAAAGCTTACATTTATGTAATACATTGTGTAATCACGAAAAAAGGTCATCCGTTTTGCTAGAGTAACTGTTAAATGAAATTTTTAATAAAATCATAAATCGTCAATAGTTAAATACTGTATTATATAATGAATAAATGATTGCATTTACTCTCCAAGTTATTGAACATCAATTTCAAATTTTAATTATATTAATCTTTTTTTTTATCACAATAATTTGTCATTCCTTTAAAAATTTTCTAATCTTTTTTTTTATCACACTAAATTTTGTCATTCCTTTAAAAAATTTTCTAACCCTTTGAGTCCATTTAGTTTAGCAATAAGAAATGAAGAACTTTTAAATGCTTAATAATTTTCTTTGATAAAAAACAATTCTTGTATTTTAGAAAAAAAAAACGTTTCACCTTTCTTAATTGATAACGAAGGGATTTTTTATTTTTTCTTTAATTTTTTACTCGTTCCGTCCTAATTTTGTTTGGCTTATTATTCATTTTTTTTTAATGTCCAAAATATTTGCAAGATTTCTAAATTTAGACAATGTAAATAATTATTTTTCACATAAATAATCTTTTATAGTTGTTTTATTGAACGAAGGGCTTTCAGTATCTTAATGAATTTTTAAGATAAAGAAGGGTAAAATAATTTTTAATTGAATAAATTATTATTAATAGTATTTTATAAAAATCATGCAGCAAAAAACGAGACGAATGAGTATTTTTTTTTTTTTTAACTCCGCCCTCACTCTTCTTAAGTTTTCTTCTTTTCTCTGCTCACATGTCATCGATGATTCCGATGATCATCACTTGACTCTAAGCAAATAGGAAGATCAAAACATTCTATGAATTTACGGCAATACAGATATATGCACTGCACTGTTTAAAAACAAAAATGTACGGCACACCAAATTTGGGAGTGGGCCAATATGGGCCTGTAATTGTAAAAATCATAAACTTTACACACGTACATAACAATTCCTAGAACAATTAAAAGATTACGTATGCATGCTTGCATCAAACGACTAGCGTTTTGTTCCCTTTTATTCGTCTTCTTCTCTCATCCTCTCTCTTTTATCTTTTTCTGATTCTTTCTCATCTTTCTCGCTCTCTGTCTCGCCTCTTGTTCTTTTTTTTTTTTTTTTTTTTTTTTTTTTTTTTTTCTGTAAATATTGTGTAAATGATCTAAAAAGTATTAAAATATAAAAAATTCAACAAAAATGGTATTATAAGAAAAACTGTTAAAAGAAAATAAAATTCCTTTTCCGATGTATTTTTACTTTTAAATACTAAAAAAGTGGGGGGGAAAGAAAAAAAATAAAGAGCTGAGATGTGCTATGAATTCAGCTGTTGAAGATCTGACGACTGCGATAGACCCCTCTACCGCATAGAGCACTAACTTCATCATAGCCCAAATGCACCAGCCGGGAATCGAACACGGGTCTGTACCGTGGCAGGGTACTATTCTACCACTAGACCACTGGTGCTCGATGCTTAATGTTTCCTTGTTTATAATTTATCGAAAATAATATAAGTATTTTTTAAAATATAGTTCTAAATTTTTTTAAATGAATATTAAATTTAATAAATTTAAAAATATAAAAAATTATAAAACTAATTTTGGATATTAAGCAAAATTGAAAATAATGGGAAACTATTTCAGCTGTTATTATCCTTTCATTATTATCAATAGTATTTTGGAATATAAAATATTGTTTAACATATAAACAAGCAATAAACTTATGAATTAGGCAAAATCTCATTAATATAAAAATATTTCATCCGTTATTCCCAAAAAATAAATTTTGGAGCAGAATCGGACCCAACAAATAAATCAAAATTTTAGAATTTATTTATAAATGAATTCAAGTAGAATTCATTTACAATTGAATTTATCATGTTTGGTATACTACAATTTAAAATAAAAAATTCAATTGAATTCCATAAAATTATGTTTGAAATCATTCGTGAGTGAAAATTAATTTATTTTTATTTTCTAAAATACTATTGACATAATAATTTAATAAAAATATTAATATAAACAAATACACTCATATTTCACCCTAATTAATTAATTAACTAGTGGTTAATTAAATTTTAAAATTTCATATTTTAAGTTGTTATCTGACAAGCGGAGCAGAATCGGACCCAACAATCATTTTTCAGCATTAGCTCCTTTGGAAGAAAAATTAGGCTCAGATCCAGCTCTGCCAGAGAAAACCCAGTTGCGGGAACCACCATGAATGGCAATAGAGAAATCCTTTTAGAACCTAACACAAAGCTCCTATTGTTACTGTTGCTGCCGTTGATGTTATTATTGTTATTGTTTAGCTGCCGTTGATGTTATTATTGTTATTGTTTAAACTAATACTAAAAGCTGCGAGTTTCTATTCTTCCTCTTCAATGACTGAGATCCAAGTAAGCTGAGTCTCAATTCAATAGCTTTCAAGCTAAGATCACCACTAGATAAATTTTTATTAGAGTTTTCCATAGAAGGAATCTCAGATGTTAAGCTCTAATGGTATAGATATGAACAAATCTCAAACAAGGAAAGCTCGGATGTTATCACGTCCAAAAAACCATGAAATATTTATCAAGATGAACCAGATGATAATAAAGAAAAAGATGAAACCCCTTTTGGATTGATGCCAGTAGAGATATATAAAATTTAATTGTAAGCAAAGAAATCCGGTTTAGTTAAATTATGAAGCGGAAAAAGCTTGATTGAGGAAATGGCAGTTCAGTTAATAAAAATGTGAGTGGGTTAATAAGTGGAATTCATTTGCAAATTTCAACGATTTTAATAAAATTTTAACTAAACTTATCAACTTTATAAAATTTTGGATTTCCATATGAATTTCACAAAATTTTGTGGAATTTATCAAAATTTTGTGGAATTTATTGATTTCAAACAGACTCTTAGCTTTCATTTATAAATTCTTTTAGTATTAGGAAAAGAAATTCTAATTTAGCATAAACCAAAATTTTATATGTGATTGTCGTAGGGTTAACTCAAGTGGCTAACGCTAAGACTTAAGATTTTATATTTGATTCGCATCCTATTGAGCTTAAATTTAATATATATTTCTAATTGTAATTTCTAATTTATGCCCATTGAAGTTTTATAAAATTACTTGACAATGCAATTTGATTGCTATAAATTTCAATTTGGTGAGATTTAATTAATCAATAATATCAATTCATAACCCGTAAACCAATGCATCCATAAATTAAATATAATTTGTTTAAAAATCTAAAGCTTTAAATATAAAATCAAAAAATTTGCGGAAAAAAATTAGTGGAAAAGAAAATATTACATAATTATTGGAGTCTTGGAACAGTTTTGAAGTTCATAGATTTACATTGTCACACAACAGACCAGATATATCAGAATATATCAGCCAAATCTCATCTCTAATCAACCCATTATATTCAAAATCATTTCCCATTCTTTTCTCCCTTGAAGCAAACTTAGAGTAACGAAAATTAGAATGACCTTGGCTTTGCAACTATGGTGGAATGGTTCAATATATGCAAACTGAATTGGCCACCTTTCTCTGTAGTATCGAGCTTTGACTGTCCAGGAGGTGGCAATAGCTCAAAGTTCTGTACCAAACGCCCCAAGGTAATTCCAAGAATTGGCAATGCAAGAATAATTCCAGGGCAGCTCCTTCTTCCGACCCCGAAAGGAAGGTATCTGAAATCGTTTCCATTAGCCTCAACCTTTGACTCCTCTTCCAAGAACCTTTCTGGCCTGAACTCTTCAGGATTTTTCCAATTAGCAGGATTGTTAGCAAGCCACCAAGCATTAACTAAAATTTTGCTTTCAGCAGGAATGTCATATCCGGCAAGCTTAGCTTCGTGGAGATTCATGTGAGGAACAAGAAGAGGAATGGCCATCCTGAGACGGAGAGTTTCTTTGACGACAGCCTGAAGATAGGGGAGTTTGTGTGTGTCAGGTTCGGTGATTTGGTGACCAGGTCCAAGTACTGTGTCTAATTCATTCCTCAGCTTCTTTTGGATTTCAGGATGGTTTACAAGCTCGGCAATTCCCCACTCAATTGACCACAGTGTTGTTTCAATTGCTGTTACATATAACAAAAATTTTGCACATTAATACCTTTAATTTAATTGCATTGCTTTATAAAAATTGGAAAGAAATACTAGTTATTTAGAAATTGGAAAATTAAAAAAAAAAAAAGATTTTTTACAATTCTGCCCTTTGATTGGATCTAATAAATAATAATAAAAAAAAAGGAAATAAACCTACTTCCACCAAGATAGCTATTAGCTAACCTACTTATATGTTCATTATCTAAGTGACATTAATCACTCCAATGAGGAAGAAAAGATTAAAAAAAAAAAAAAAAACAATGGGAAGAAAGAATATAAAAAAAAAAAAAAAAGGCAAAATTAGAACCTACTTAAATACAAGTTAGGTAAGAAGAGCACTTTCTACTACTAATGCAACCTAAAGTGGAGATAATACTACTTTTAACAGCTAATTGATCATCTCAAGCGTAAAAGGGTTAACACTGATTTTTTAATACAAATAAAATAATAATAATAATAATAATAATAATGTCTTGGTCGGTTCACCTACAACAACTATACCTAATCTCTTAAAGGACATGTTAATTGTCATCAACGATACCCACCATCAGTTGGTGTGGTTGGTGGGGTTGGGTTCAGCCAACTTATGCAAAACTGATAAAATTGCTTAGTCCCAGAAGTTGACAAAAGCAGTATTATATTCATACGGAAGGTTTAGAGGAGAAGTGCCAAGTGTTTGAGCTTGAAAAGTCCGTCCATACAATTTGACCTTTCTTAGGCTAACTTAAAACTAAAAAGGCAATAACCATTCCAATTGGTACAAGCTGACCAAAAAAGTTTTGAGATATCTGTTCCTAAATTAGCTTCCAAAGAGGTTAGCTAGTGCTGCATTAAAAGGAGATATCGAATTGGGCTCAAAAGGTCCCATGATTTGCCGTTAGTGATAACATTCTAATCCAGATGCAAATCTGGGGAGAATTTCAATCAATATTAAAGTTATTAATTCAATCACGTCAAGACATTGTTTTTATAATTAAATTATAAGTCGTAGCTATCACTAATTTCTTGGCGTTACCGTAACGGCTTCACTAACAACAACGTCACACCGTGCAAAATTGAAAAGTATGCAACTTGTAGCACTAAAAGAAAATTTTTTTTTTATTAACTTCTATGATAAGTTAGAAAAGGAAAAGTCTTGAATTCCAGGTACTTTTTTGTTCACAAGAATTGGTTTTTGGTGCATAAACTCTAAAATTTCGGTGCATAAATTCCTCATCTACTCATTTTTATAGCCCTGCACAACTTGCTATATTTTCTGGAGGAAAATTGATTTCAGTATAGGGGTAGCGTAGCTACCTAAGTGGCCATCAAAAATTCCAAAAGACCAAAATACCCCTTGGATGGGAGGATTTTTACAGAATAATCAAGACTAAAGAAAATAAAATATGGCTAAATATATATTATAGAAAAAGACAACAGATGACAAGATCAGTGTATAAATTTTTTTTTTTTTATAAAAAAAGGAGAGAAAAAAATCTTACCAGCAACGTTGATATTCTCTACAATGTAAAGAACGTTGTCTTCATTGATCTCTCCCTTCTGCTGTGCGTCCAAAATATGATCTATTGCGCATTTCAACCCTTCATTGTTCATGCTCTTGGTGCTTGAAAGCTTCCTGTGTTCACCAATAGAAAAAATAATAATATTAATTTTATTTTTTAAATATTGAGTTCCTATTTGACAGAAATTTTTTTTTTTTTTTTTTTTATTTATTTTTTAAATATTGAGTTCCTATTTTGACAGGAAAATTTTTTTTTTTTTTTTTTTTTTTTTTTTTTTTTTTTCATAAACACATATATCCCCAGTCCACCAGACTAAAGTCGGCCAACTAAAAAATAAAATGCTACCAGCTTACTATTAAAGTTGGCCCGCTAATGAATAAAGTGTCTTAAAGAAATAGTGAACTGGGTGAAATATTTACTTTAAAATAAAATAAAAACTATATATCAGTCCTCGTTTCTGGTTTGCTAAATTTGTCTGTTTCTCTGACTAGGAATTGGAATCTTTAGTTACTGTTTTCTTCGACTAATTTGGCATTTTGTGCCGTCTTGGTGTTCGATGAAAAGCCCACCGAAGAATTTCTCCCAAATCAGTTTAGGTGTTACTGTGGAAACGATTTCTTGCCTAAATGATAAGATTGATATCTAGTTCAGATTGACAGCTAACTAAGTTTTAGCAACTAACATAACATTTACCTAAAATGAAATAACTTGCCAAATAGAAAATGGTTTATAGTTTAGCTTTAAAATGCAATTATTATAGTTGGTGGGATTTTTTTTTTTATTTTGAAAAAGCCAAAAAAAAAAAAAAAGAAAAGAAAATAAAATACTTACTTCCTTTCCTCGACGAAGAAGTCCTTGAAGAGCTGCAACCTTCTCTCCTTCACTTCTTTACAGATCTTCAAGTAACCTCTCAAAAAGGGTCTCAAAATAGGAATAAAATCACCATAGTTATACTCAAAGCTTTGAGCCAATCTACTTCTCTCTCCATTCAAAGCCTTAAGCTTAACAAACAAAGGATCGTCTTCACTTTCAAATCTCCTGTCAAACATGATTCTATACATATTATTGTACATCATCAACTGCAATCGCCGTCTTAACACAATACCGGTAGTGGCAGCTTGTGGATTCTTCTTAACATCCTCCACCACCTTCCCCGCCTCATCTTCCCATCCATATCTATACTGTTGAACCACCTTATTAGTAAAAAACGGAACCGTCATGATCCTCCTCATCTTCCTCCAGTGTTCACCGTAAACGGTAAACACCATATCCTGTCCTTTACCGGTAAAGATATCAAAAACGACATTTCGAGTTCGGGATCCAAATTCAACACCTTGAGTATGTAAAACCTCTTTAGCTAAGTCCGGCGAAGAGACAACGACAAGATTCCGTTGTCCCATACGGAGCAAAAATATGTCGCCGAATTTTTTAGCGAGATCGGTGAGATTACGATGGTTTAAGTCATCGCCGACTTGAAGCCAATTACCAAAGACGGGTATGGGTAAAGGACCCGGAGGAAGCTTAAAGCGCTTGCCGCGTAATTTAGAAACGACAATGGCGACGATGACGGCGGCGAAGAGACCTAAAAGAGTTTTCTCCAGTACAAGGAGATCCATTGCCAGAGGTAGATGGAGATTTTGGAGTTAGTTTGGTGTGGGAATTGAAGACAGAGAGGGTGGGTATTATATAATGAAGGGTGGAAGGTGGATGAGTTTGATAGGCACGTTAGGTGAAGCGTGTGGCTATAGTGAACGGAGCAGTGGGTGAGAGAGTGAGAGTATAAGAATGGAAGTTGACGGCGTTAAATTTGACGAACTAAAGTTTTGAAGTGGTAGGAGAATGGCGGTCATATGGGGGTAGGTAAGGAGGTTGGTGGGAGGGAGATTTTTTTGATAATAGTCTCCGTTAGAGAAAATATTATATATATAGTAGGACGGGTTGGTGGGGAGGGAGATTTTTTTTGATAATAGTCTCCGGAAAATATTATATATATATATATATATAAATATAAAAGTGAACAAGTGGCTATGTTTTCCTACACAACATACAAATTGAGAACCAAAACCATTGGGATGGCAGTAATAGCGATGCACTGCACATGGCTAAATGCCTAAATGAGGAATAAAAAAAAAACAATAATGGTTAGATCAAAATGATCCGATCATTTCCATTAATTCAAAATTTGGTGATGTGGAATGACTAAATTACTCTTTGTAAATTTAAGGAAATTTTTATGGTGGGAATAAAATTTATATCGGAGGAAAACAAGAAGAATAAAAGTATAGTGATTTACGTGTGTTTTGCACGATTGCACAGTGTTTCGTGATTTAAATATATTATATAGAGTTAAAAATTTTATTTCTAATTAAAATGAAACATCAATCTTAAAATAAGTTTATTCAAATTAAGACATGTGCAACAAAACAACATTAGTCGTAAATAATAAATTATAGAGTAATTTTTAAAGAGTTGTTAAGTGGAAAATCTATAAAAACAGATAAAGAAGGCATATTTTCTCTCTAAAATTTTCAAAATTTTCTAACTAAGTGAAAACCAAAAACTTCATTTTAGAGAGTATCAGGTCAGCGTAGAGCAAACATAAATGATTCTCCTTTCTATATATAAGGACTTTCCATTTTGGTTGTCATTTAAATAGAGAAATTACTCCACATAAAAGCTAATCCAAGGCAAAATTTTCGCTATGCCCTTATTTGTAGTCACACATTTAAGGAAACAAAGAGTGAAGCAATAAATGTTGTTAGGGGCATAAATAGAAAGTCAGTGAAAAAAAAAATCCATTTCCTTAATCCTCATGTGATGGAGGTCCATCTAGCCTAGCCTTACAAGCTGTCCTAGACATGGGCCTTGGTCTTGATTCCATTAGTGAAGTTGATGAAGACAGTCCACCTTGGTCTTGATTCCATTAAGTGAAGTTTGATGAAGAAAAGTCCCAAGTGAAGATGGGCTTGGTGGGAGTGACATGTTTCAATCTGAAGCTACAGGCTCTTTAGGGCCATTTGGGGTTCCTTTCCAACCATCAAAATCTTTGAAAGACAACAATCAAGGAGCAACTTGTTGATCATTCACTATGAAATTCCAAGCCTCCATTTGTGTTTGTTTTCAAACTTAGTTAGGTGTCCTTTGAATTGTGCCTTTGAATGAGTTTATTTCCAACTTAGTTAGGTGTCCCTTTTTAATAATTGAACCTAGTTAGGTGTATCTTTGAATGTGTTGTTTTCAACCTAGTTAGGTATCCTTTGAAATTGTGTCTTTGAACAACACATTCAAAGGGAGTTTATGACTATCTCTTGTTTCCCTATATAAAGGGATTTTGTGTATTTTGAAAGGGAGATTTGGAATAACAAGAAAGTGCTAATCACATTTGGGTTTTATTAGTTTCCAAAAACTATTGGGTTTTGTTTGTTTCCAAAAACAATCATCTATCTTTTTTCATTTTAATCTTCACCATTAACTATCTTAGCCTTCCATCACATTTTGAATCAAGTTACTGTAGCACGGATGCTTCTGAGTTCCTGTTTACTGTAGCACGGATGCTCTGAGTTCTTGTTAAGCAAGTTACTGTAGCGACTCGTGTTTTCTCTATCAAAACCATAGTCCTTTCCACCATGCCATCAGTTTGGTATCAGAGCCACAAATCTTAACCTCTTTCACTGTTCATTTGTTTGTCAAGTTAAATGCTTATAAGCCAACAAGCATCTCTTAACAAAGACAAAAAACAATTATGTTAGAAAGATCAAAGATCTAGCCTCAGCAATTGAGAAAATTGAAGGTTGGAAATGGAAGTTCTTAGGCCATGAATGTAAGCCTACGAAAACACTCATCCAAATACTCCCCCAAATACCCGAAAGTCCTCATGAAGAGGAACCTGACTATGAAGATTCATGGAGAGCCAGGCACCTTATGTTTGGAATGTGGAGGTTTTAGAAGGGAGAGGGAGGAGGATTGTTTCATGAGGATTTTGGCCCAAGGGCAAGGCGTTTGCCACCGACCCATCCGTGTGAAAGAAACAGAAGAATCTTTCACTGATAAATCGAATTACTGAATTTTCATGGTAAGATCGATGCTGATGCCTATCTTGAATGGATATACTCAATGGAGTAAATTTCCTTTGAACTGAAGGGAGGTGTCCGAAGACAAAAGAATGAAGCTTGCTGCTATGAAGTTTGAAGGGATATGCTGCCCTTTGGTGGGATAATTTGCAAAACGAAGGATGAGAAGGGAGGCCTCTCAAAATTACTCAATGGAATAGGATGAAAGAAGAGGATGGATGCGGTGTTCTTCGGCCACCGGGCATTAGTAAGAGCAGAAGAATGACGTGTGAAGAAAAAAATGTTGGAGCCTCAAAACTAAGAATACTAAAATCGTTGGAACAATGACATCCATGGAATTTGAAAGGAATTTCTTGATTGAAGGTGAGTCGAGGAGACCGAGGAGCTGATCAGTGGCGTTTTCTCCAATGGATTGGCGAATCGCGACATCCCAGACATGGGTAAAAGCTTCTACCCTTATGAATCTCTTATTGAATTGAAAAGAGATTAAGCAACTAAAGATAGTGAAGACAGATTTGAAGCAATTCACACCAAAACAAAACCAAGATATCAGACCTTATACTACAAAAACCGAGCTCTAGTAACCCCAATGTTGGCCCCTATCAAGGACCGACATAACACACCCTCACCAAAACCCCCTCCTAAAAACACTTTCCACACACCAAGAAATACCCAATTGTCCCACCATCCAAAAATACGCGTCTAAGAATGCCTTTGAGAATGTTTCAAATGCCAAGGGTATGGACATCTGTCCAATCTGAATGTCCTTCAGAGGAAAGTAATGACCCTTAGAGAGAATAGAGGAAAGATTGAGGAAGAAAATATACCATGCTTGATTCTGTTGCCCAGTAAATAGTGGAATTGAATGTTGATGAGGGAGATATGCTAGTTGGTGAATGCAATGGAAATGGGGAGTGTTTAGTGAATGATGCGTAATTTGAATATTGGGAAAAGAAATGAGGAGGATTGGGGAGGAAATCCCTGTTTCAACTAGATGTTTTGACAAAAAAGTTAAATTTGGTGTGAAGTTATTATTGGAAGTGGTGCATGTGAGAATGGTTGTAATCCAATAAATGGTTGCGAAGTTGGGTGAACTGAAAATCGAGCAATTGGATAACCCTTATAGGGTTGGGCTTGGGCCCTGAATTCTGAGCATGAAATTAAGTAAGTCCACTAAAGAAAGTGGTCTAGTTCCTTTTTGCAAAATTGGCAAAATACGTGGGATGAGGTGAGCTGCCAAATGTTATCCCAATGGACCAAGCTTGTCCCACTTTGCTTCTTGGAGACCTTGGTTGTATGATAAGATGTGCAACACCAAGGAAAGGGCGCAGATACTTACAGCCCTTTTTTGCCATAAGGGTAAACACCAATCTTGCTCAAACACCGTTACTACCCGAGAAGAAGAAGAAAGAAAAGAGAAAGTTGGAATGGTTGGATTGTATCCAATGAATGAAAGAGTGAGATCAATGAAGGCTGCCCCCAGCTATGTCCAATTGATGTGGAGGATGAGCCCAAACAGTGAATCAATGTGATTCCCAAAAGAGTACAATTTCTTATAGAGAGTTTGAGAAGAGTTTTTTCCCAGAACCACTTTACTAATTAGGTTTTGCCCCCTCTAAGATCGAATACAACATGAGATCAGTTTTGTTCGGGAGCCAAATGTCCTCATAAGCACTCCCTAATAGAATGATCTTAAAAGAGAGTGATGAAAATTACAAATAGCCCCAAGTTGATGATTGTTAAAGAAGAAGCTTTATAAGGGAGAGTGTTTCTCGCTTGTGTTTGTGCCAGCCTTTTGTTATTCCTAAGAAAGGAATGGCCATGGGTATAATGTGTATTAGATTCATAGGCTGTTAACAAGATAACGATCTAATGTAAGGTTTTTTCCCTATTTCCAAGGCTTATGATGATATGCTTGATCGATTGCATGGAGCTTCAATTTTCCTCAAAGGATTTGATCTTGCGCAAATTGGATTCCTACCAATATTCGTGTTAGAGAATGGTGATGAGTGGAAGACAGCCTTCCAAGAACCAATGAGGGCTGTATGTAATGGGTTTGGTCAATGCCCCTATGGGTACTCCTCTAATTCACCCTTCCATGCCTTTTAATGCGACTCATGAATGAGGTACTCGCAAACCTTGTTCTTAAACAAATTATTGGTGGTGATATTACTTTGATGATATTTCTGATCTTTATAACTAAGTTTAATGAGCATTATATTGTTTGAGAACTTGTCTTTGAAAGGTTTTGACCGTGAATCGTTGTAATGTCTAATGTAGAGAGTTGTCATTTTTGTTAATAGCACCATTAGTTTTTTGTGGGGTATGTTTGTAGTCTATAAGATGGTATAAGTATGGGATTCTGAAAAGGTCCAAGGCATTGTTTTGAATTGGCCTATTCCAAACAATGCTGTTTCAAGTAAGGAGTTTTCATGGGTTTGTTCCTTTTTATAGAGATATTCAATTAAAGGTTTAGTACTAATAACAAAGTCCTATAACAAGACGTGCATTGAAAAAAAGGGGTGTTTTAAAATGGACACCTCCAAAGCCCACCTTTGCCTTTTAAACCACCTTTAAAGAATGCCAATGACAAAG